CGAAGCCATGCTGCGTTGTGCTGGTTACTACCAAAAAGACATCCAAATAGGAAGAAGCTTGTAAGAACGGCCTCGATGGTTGGATTTTCGCCAAAATCAGAGCAGCTTCTCATTCTTGTAGCTTCGGTCATCATTAACCTGGCCTGGCCAGCTCGAGATTGAGAAGTGGGTCGCTCATCTATCTCAATAGGCTGGGTAAGCGAGAAAGCGCACAGCGACAGTAACATCGAGCCAAACTGAGGATTTTTACGATGTTCATGGGATAACATCCGGATGAACAACGAAGACCGATTTAGCACTGGCAAAGTCGGGTGCAGGCGATCAAAATAGACGTCAATCCATGGAATCATGTTTGCCTCCACGATCGATGAGGGCCATAACGCTCTTGTGTGACTTGGTTCTGGCTTGGTAACATCCACATCCGGCACAGGAGCGGGGATATTATGTGATTCTAGGCCCTGTGCTTGCAGGCTCGAAGAGTCTGCATCATTCTGAATGATGGAGGGCAGAGATGTCCTTAGGTAGATGTTAGTGCCCGGGAAATCAAAGATGGGCATTTGAGCATCTAAGTTATCCGGCAGCCAATACTCCACATCACTTCTCTCGTTCCAGCCTATCGCACTGTTACTATGGGATGCCATAGATGAAGCATCTACACTCCAGCCAGGAGCAACCGCCGCCGTCGCATGGGATTGCGCAAGGTCGACGGGCACGGAAACATCGCCGTCAGGAATAGGCCACGGCGTCGCATCATGTCGACTTTCTTCTCGCGGAGGAGGCTCTGCTTGATAAGGGAAAGTGGTAGGAAAGGCGCTAGAGTTGACTTGACTTTGTGGGGTCGGAGGATTTTTGCTTAACACATGAGTTTGTTGCTGCCGGATCTGCGATACACGACTAAAGAAGTGGTCAGGCTATGCAATAACCCAACAAATGAGTAGAGTATTATCCTAGTAAACTCACTGTCCAGTTGGGCCCCGTTTCTTTTGGGGTTGGAAAAAGGTGCATTCAAAACCCATAGACACACATGCTTTACATGGTTGCGATAGACTACACTGTGCAGCATTAAGAGGGTTAGCATACCCACGACCGACCGCTCAAGCATCGGAAGTAAATCGCAGAGGGTGGGGGAGGTGAAGTGAAATTAACAACAATCTCAAGAAAGGGGAAGGAAGTATTGCCTTGATCTTCCGGAATTTGCACTGGTCGCAGGCCCTTTTCGCTATAGCCCCCGATGTCTTCCTTCGGGATTCAGTCCGGATGGCACCGGTCATCGGGGGTGTTGTAGTGGCATCCGAAGTCGGGTTCATGATGGCATGTTCTCGGAGGGACAAAAGGGGCGATAGAGGGCAGGAAACTAGCAGATATGCGAGCAAGAGGGACAATCACAATGATATACCGGGACGAAACATTTCAATGCCTCACACTCAACTTCCCCGTCCATCAGTCAGCTTGTTATTCAAGAGAATGATCAACATGGAGAGAGAAAACGAGGAAAAAAATCGCCCGTCGCGGAGGCCCCGCGTGATGAATCCACTGTAACGTATTTGTCTCAACCTTAGTGCCGTCACTCTTTCCAAGCTTGTTTTAAGGGAAATCAAAATCAAAAATCAAACTAAGAAAAATAACGGGAAACTTCGAAAAAACGGGAAAGGAAAGCTAAAATCTCCCAACTCTTATGCTTATTTCAATATTATTATAAAAATCCCCCTCTGGTGCACCACCGCCGCTTTAGTGGCCGTTCTCCCTGTTCAGGAGTGGACCCTGCCCCATCAGGTTGGCCGTAATTTCTACTCCGTGAATCATTGGGGAACAAGATAAACTAGGGCTGTGTTATAGTCAGTCTGGTTGAACCTCTACAATTACATCCGATGACATTGTATCCCAGAATTTACTCGCATTAAATGACTTTCTTTTCCTCGGCAATCATGCCGTTCCCCAAGTCGTCTCCACTCCAAAATGGGCTCAACTAGCACTAAACAACTTACCCCAATCGCTAGTTATCAAAAGAAGATTGGGGTCAACACTGCACTGATAACCCCCAAAATGAGTAGCCTAAGTCACTACTGGGCCTAAGCCATATATAAATGCTGTTGAGCAGACGTGTCCTATGGGCCTATAGCCCGTATTTCAACCAGAGTATTTGATTTCGGGACTGTTTGACGACCTGTATTGCCAACAATCTATCTGCATATACAACCCCTGCGTAAAATGAACCACTTTCAAGTATGGAAGCAAACTGCTTCTCGAAAACAGTACTTACGGAGTGAAATCCTGAAACCCTACATGGTCTCCGATATGGATCAACGGCTACCTCAGGTCCACAATGTCCAGGAACGTTCCCGTATCCATAGTCATCCAGAAGTTCAAGAAATCACTGATATCGACAATATCCCTGTTCTGGTCGAGCAATTGAGAACAGGCAGATTTACTGCTGAAGCCGTTATTCTCGCTTACGTTAGAAGGTGATTGTTGCATTGCCAATGCTTGTTTGATGGATGGGTGCAGCTAATTTCTCGCCTTTACAGGGCTGCAATAGCACAACAATTGGTGGGTTATACCTATCGCAATGGAACAGTTATACGAAGGTATTCACAAAGACTAACAACATTAGACAAACTGTATTACAGAAGTGGTTTTTGAAGATGCTTTGGCCCAGGCTCGAGCATTGGATCGTGTTTTTCAGGAAACTGGGCATCTTAAAGGACCACTCCATGGCGTCCCTGTCACTTTGAAGGACCAATTCAACATCAGAGGTGTAGATACTACCTTGGGATATGTCGGGCGTTCGTTTGCTCCTGCTACGGAGGATGCAGCTCTTGTGCAGATACTGAGGGATATGGGAGCGATCATTCTAGCGAAGACGAATCTGCCCCAAAGTATTATGGTCTGTCTGTTCGAATGAATTTTAATAGGTGTTCCGTTATGGGCTAACCTCAATTAAAGTGGGCTGAAACAGAGAATCCTCTTTGGGGTCTGACGGTTAACCCGCGCGATCCTAGGTTGACTCCAGGAGGCTCGACAGGGGGCGAAGCGGCTCTCTTAGCATTGCATGGCTCCCTCATAGGGTTTGGAACAGATATCGGTGGAAGTATCCGGATTCCGCAAAGTATTGTGGGCTTATACGGCTTCAAACCCACGGTACGTTTTAGCCCTGGAATGACCGTTCAAGACGAAAAGTACCGGGCTGACTACCAAACAGAGCAGCAGATTACCGTACCTAGGGGTTCCTGTTTCCACTGAAGGACAAGAGCACGTCCCCTCTTCCATCGGCCCAATGGCTCGCGACTTAGCGTCTATCGCTTATGTGAGTCGATCTGTTGCTAACGCTAAACCGTGGGAGTTGGACCCAAAGTGCACCCCCCTTCCGTGGAATGAGGATACATTTCAGGAGATACAGGATCGGCCCATGGTTGTCGGTTTGATTCTAGATGATGGGGTGGTGACTATCCACCCTCCTATTGAAAGAGCCCTCCGCGAGTTGTCAGCAAAAATACAAGCAAAGGGCCATGAAATTGTCATCTGGGATGCTTCAGATCACTTTGAATATATTCAACTCATGGATCAGTATTATACTGTTGACGGTGGCGAAGATATCCGTCGAGACATTGCTGTCGCCGGAGAACCATTCGTTCCACATGTTGAGGCACTAGTTACCCGAAGCCAGGCTATCTCCGTCTATGAGTATTGGCAGCTCAACAAGCAGAAGGTCGCACTACAGAAAAGATACCTTGATAAGTGGAATGCGATTCGGTCTCCATCGGGGAAGCCAGTTGACATTCTCCTAGCTCCCACTACACCGCATCCAGCTGTTCCACACCGAAGACTGCGGTGGGTTGGATATACTAAGATCTGGAACTTGCTCGACTATCCCGCTGTCACCTTCCCTGTTGATGAAGTAAGAGTGGCTGTGGATAGCGTGCAAAAGACATATCAACCGAGGAATGAGCTGGACGCATGGAACTGGGATCTTTATGACGCGAAGGCTATGGAAGGCCATCCCATCAATGTCCAAGTCATCGGAAAGAAACTGAATGAGGAAAAGGTGTTGGGGGCTGCAACCGTTATCGAGAGAATCTGGAGAGATCTCTAATTTTCATGGTTGGGGAAGATGGCATCGTGCTTGCTTACGTTGATGCCAGACAATTTTCTTTAGGCAATTTTACTTAACACCCGCCTTGTTCCGCGTCGGGAAATGTATGGCTTGTGAGCCTGCTCTAGCTTGGAGTAACCCAAACGGGATTTGGGGTAAATGCCTACTTAAACGTTGGAGTATACATCTGAGAATGAGGGGTAAGTTATGATAAGCACACGGTGGGCTACTTGATAGTCGATACCTAGTACCGGTAGATACGGTAGTAGGGGTGCTCTCAAGTAGTACGTATACAACTAGAGCTATCGCAGAGAGGGGATATTTGAATTGATTGAATGATGATAGGCCGTATTCGATATGCTGTGCGGACTTCAACTTAAGGTCTAGCTTCTACGCGATCTGAGGTAGAAAAATGGGGGGCAAAGCGTGTTCTGCTTGGCTACCGAGTCGATGCCGTGGCCAGTTGCTTGTATAGGAGGGAAATGTACAGACAAGTACAGAGCTAAGCTTATAGGATTATTGAACACATCATGAAGCAGGAGGGCGAATGAGTGGCCATGGAACAAATCCGCAAAGTCAAGGATAAACCGCCAGGGAGTGCGAAGATGCTCGCAACTCCTAAGACAAAGCATTCATAACCTCTTATGGTTGCCCAGCCATGCGCCACTACCAGAATGCAGTCTAGCCAAAACACGTTAGACTCGTCCTGAATTCATATTGTCTTTGAAAGGACCTCCAGTTTTCTGTTCAATTACTATTCCAATCTCAGGTATGCCCGAGGGCCAAATATATCATTAACTTCTTATGCGATGGGGGACTACTAATAAAACACACGTGTGTAAATTAAACATTCTTTTGTTCAACGCCTCTAAACACCGCAAAATGCCAGGTTCCTTTTCCCCAAATTTGATCACGTTCTTGGGGTTTCAAACAGCTGAGGCTTCATGTTAATCTTGCAAAGCTTCGCAATACAGCCGCTCAATTGGAGCAACGACTGCACACCGTCTAGGATGCGCATATGTGTAAAGCCTATTTCCCGGATGAACTCTAGTTTAGAATGTTCCGATAATGTCTGGATCGTCTTTGTGACTCGGAACATTGTGCTAATGATGTCATGGGAAGAGTAACCCAAGTCCCTACAGAAGAAGTAAGATTAGGTATAAAAAACCGTAACATCACGCATCATGTACACATACCATAGCTCGTTTAGTGTTTCTAAGGCGGCATCTACTTTCCCTTCCCAGCAGGCCTTGATCATCGCTTGGACTTTGATAGGATGGGGACTGTCGACAACTCGAAAGACATTATCGCCGCTGACAAAGCCGAAGCCTGACCATGTACTTTGCAAATTGTTAATGGCCTGGCGCATGTCTCCTTCCGCGCTAAACACCAGGGCCGCAATTCCGTCTTCTGTGTGTTCCACCTTTTCGGCATCGCAGACCTGTTTTAGTCGTTTGACAACCTGCCCATCGGTCAACCGAGCATAGCGGAGAATGGCGCATCGAGACTGGATGGGCTCTATGATTTTGTTCGATTGGTTACATGCAAAGGCAAATCGCGTAGTAGAAGAGTAGATCTCCATGGTGCGCCGCAACGCCTGCTGAGCACCTGGCGTCATACTGAATCGCGATCAGTAAATAAGCTAAACAAGCATGGGAGGGCTTCTTTAATGTGTACCTGTCTGCTTCATCAAGGATAATTATCTTATGACGACCAGGTGGCAGTGTGACTTTCTTTTGGGCAAATCCTTTAATTCGGTTCCGAACGACATCAATACCTGGGACTCCATCAGCCGTTGTGTCATAGTTCGTGAGTGAAGCACTTCACACCTCTCTCATCACTGGCATTCAATTCCAACACGGCTTCCTTATACGCATCACCTAGTAATTGACGTGCTAGGCATAAAATAGATGTGGTCTTTCCGATACCAGGCATGCCTGAGATAATGACGTGTGGCATATTGCCATCCTTCGCGATAATTTTCAGTCGTTCAATAGTCTCCGTGTTGCCGACAACATCATCGAGAAAGACTGGGCGGTATTTTTCAACCCTATGAATGGTCTTATGTCAGAATTGGCCTTTCTACTGAGCAACGATTGCAATCATATACCACGGCAGCTCATAATCAGGGGGTGACCCCGCTGTGACGGGCTTGAGGCCAGCGCGAGCAGCACTTGACGAAGATTCGGCTTGAACCATTGTGCAACCGTTTTGATATCCCCAGGGACTAGTTGCTAGGTCTGAGTTGTCTCAGCAAGCAAAAGCTGGTTTGCTCGGCGGACGCGAAAGTCGCCCAGATACGCGTCGGGGTGCATTTAGCCTAATTGGGATTAATCAGATCCCGTGCTCTCTTGGCATAGTATAGCTAAGTAAGTACTTGAGTACGACAAAGTCCCATATAATGATTTCTAGCGGTTGGCATGACCACACAGATCTGAACGGAGATATGATATTTTATGTACTACTCAGCCTTCTATCGTGACTGTCAACAATTCCATGGCGCGAAGCAATGATAAAAACAGATAGACTCTGGCCAGTTGCCAAGTGCACCAGTTCTAAGCTACCCGCCCCACTTTTACCCATTCAATTCCTACTTCAACAGCTCGCTACAGCTACAAGTTCAACTGATGTTTCACTCCTTTGTACCTTATACTTATGCCTCTTCCTAGATTTTATCCTAATAGTCTTAATTGTATCGCTACAAGGAGCCCATCTTTATCTACTCGCTTGGTGTATTCGCCTGAACTCCGAAGCAATAAGCTGCACTCAAGCCCTGTTCTTGTGCTAGAGAAACCAGGGGTTAAAAGGAAAAACGATAAAGGGCTATATTCGCCGCATCTTTCGTACTTCGCCGATATACAGCTTCTTGAATATTAATTCCACGATGGGAACAACATCTGTCCGCCGCAATATATTCCACCACCATCTCAGCAAACGCTCTGTATCGGCAGCTCTCCCAAATGCCTCGATGCAAAGTGGTACCACCGGTGGACTGCCTAGTCTCTCCTCTCATGTTATGCCATCTGCGTCATATGAATCGACACAGTCGCTGGGCCCCGGCCTAGTCGATGGCGGGGAGATCGTGGTGAAGGATAAAAATGGTGATTATAAGCTCGATATTCCCGTTCTTCCGCCCGCCGTTGCAAGAGAGGATGGGGATGAGATGGAGGGCATGGAAGGTGGAGCTACTAGAGGATCTGGGCCTACGGGGGCTGAGTCCACAGCACAAATAGAAATTAGCGGGCGCGAGAAAGAGAGTAAGTTTACTTCGACTATCCGTCCATTATTGGCCGATAACATACTGATCGCGATTGATCTAGAAATTGAGGCAAGTCTGGTAGATATGATGTACCGAAGTCGGAACAGGCAGATGAGCACCGAACCAGCTGGTAAGTTTCACCCTTATGCTGCTCCACGCGGTTGGATCTGGTTCGATTACAGCTGATTGGTTTCCTTAGAGATTCTGAATCTCATCCATCAGAACCTTAGGAACAATGTTGCCTCCCTGGATGAAGACAACTGGATATACGAACCAGAACCCGACTCGCTTTTCTAGTCGATGCCACTTACATTATGCATGAATATCTCCATGACAAAGCTGTGTATACTATGCCCGATCTGTATACACCGCGGGCACTGCCTTCCGTTAAACTAGTCGAGCTCCGGATTTGCTGGTGGCGCTTCGACTTTCTTGGATGAGCCTCGGCTCTGCGACATCCTTCCGCCTGTACTGCCCTGTCCCCCTCCAAACAGCATGCTACCCATCATATCCAGCAAAGGGTTGCCCTGTCTTGGGATCTTAATACTGAAATACTGCTCCCCAATCTGAGCCAAGAAATCATCCCAGATGCTGACCTCTTGGATTTGCGGTGCATAATGCGATGTTAACTGTTTGAAAAGGTCCGCGCTGCCGCGTTGAATCGTGAGGAGAAGCATGCTGATAAAGTTCAGCAAAGGCAATGCGGGAAAGACTCGCACATCAGTACTGGAGCTGCTGACATCCTGTGAACTGGGGGAAGGATTAGAGGACGAAAGTCGGGACGTGAAGATGAGGAATGCTTTATTAGCACTGCGCAGATTTCCGGTCAGGAGGTACGGGAAAACTGCGCGGGATGCGTAAATCGCTGCCGTGTGCGGTTCGTCATTTGTGTACCACTCATGCTCTAATTTTGCCAGGGTTTCAGCTGATTCTGAGGTTCCGAGGATCAGATGCTTTTCAGCGTCGTAGGGTTCATGGTCTAAAGCCATTGGTTAAGGAAAACATGGACATGTATTTCACCGGCACAGATTTACATACCTTCGGCATACACCGATCCAACTGCATGATGTAAATCGGGGTCGCCTCTCTCTAGAGGCCCAAACCGTCCACTCCAGCCAATCATCTCCTGTATGAACCTTTTGCGAGTTGGTTCCTCGGATGGGAATTCATGTAGAAGCTCGATAAGGCGCTCTGCAATTAGGTAAAATCATCAGCTTAGTCAAAGTTCAACTTTCATAGTAAAACCTATACAGAGAAAAATGCTTCTCGAGACTTACTCTTTCGAGCACGGCCTTCCGTATCATCATCATTTTCAGTAATTTCCCACCCCGCCTTCGTGTACACCTCAACAACAAGCATAATGGCCAAGTCTCCGCCACTGGCAGAAGCGCCTTGCTGAGACCCAGCCCTTAAAAGTGCAGTCGCACCCCCTGCCAGTAACTCCGCGGCCGCATCGTAATTCGCTTGTTTGATATACCGCGCAGCGATGACCCTCAGTTGCTGATGAGCCTCGTAGTAAGCACCGGAGGCTATCCTGTCGCCAAAATAATTAGCTCCTTGCTATGAAACGTTACCACCGAGATAAAGTTGCTATAAAAGCAAGTACGCGGGCTCCGTGATGTTCCTACTTTTCTCGTTGCCGAGCAATGGTCTTCTCGATACGTGAGGTCATCCTGCTTCGTGTTCAATGCAGTGAAATGTTTTGGAAACGGTAAAATAGGTGGAAATGGGGACAACAAGATGAGAGCGATATTAAATTATGGTGGGGAAAAGAAGACAACTCAGGTGTCAAACACGGAAGTGAGAAAGAGGGGGAGTGAGAAGTGGACTCAAAAGAGTCGGGCAATACAGCAGCTACTGAGAGTTTGGTGGGACACTTCGGCTCTCAAATCCAGAACACCGGAGGGACGAATAGAACTGAACTTCTACTGTACGATTTCGCATGCTCATGTCTTCTTTGACACAGTCTGATTGAATTTTTTTAAAAAAAAAAATATGATAGCATAAAATAAACCCGTGAAGCATTGGCGAAGCTCAATTATGTTACCTTTCTTCAATGTTCGTCGTGGATAAGGCGCTAACCCTGTTCTGGGAGAATGCTGACCAGTCACTGACTTTTTGAAGGAACCACTCCGTACTACTACTAGTACTAATATTCTATCTACATCACGCTCCCTGCTAGATACAAAGCACAGCCGGGTACCCTTCTTTACCCAAACCGCCTTTAAAACTTCCCTATCCTTGTCGCATGTCGGGATAGACGTTGTAGTTGTTCGTTTGGTCTACTGGTGAAGGTTGCGATCACTTTATACTTTTCTTATTTATTTTACTTTTATTTTTATTATTATATTTTTTTATAAGTTTGTTTGATTTTTACTAGCCCCCATTCTTCCTTTATCTATCTATCTTAACCATTTCCTTTCCCTAGCTGCAACGTACTACTGATTAAAAGTTGTTGAATCACATCACTAGTATACTCAAAATACACCCCGAGACGCCATGAATCGAGGCGCTTTTGACATACAGCCGATTGGCCGCTTCTATGGATCCAATGCTACGATTCGCCGTCCTAAGGTAGGTTTGCCGTTCCGTCCTGCATGGTTTCGATAATGTAAACATCGCGTAGGAGATCACTTGCTTTTCATATGATGACCAGCACTCCTTTCATTTAGGGGATTTGTCCCTACGATACTACTATCCACCACATCTTCCGGCAGACTTGAATCGTGGTTATGATACCTTCCAAAAGCTGGATGACTCGGCGGATGAGCATCTAAATGCTCTACTGGAAACGATCATGGCTTTGGAAAAGGAGACAGGAAAGAAATGTGAGGCCGATATCATCACCTGGAGGGGAATGATGACCAAAGTAAGCTACTTGATCAGGGGCTGGTACCCCAACTTCAACTCGTAAGTTGACACTGGCACTCATCTAGATCCTGACGGCGCCATTCGACAATTTGAATGGGTATGTACAACTACCGATCGCTGCGACGTTGCTCTTCACTCAATCATATGTAGATTCGAAATGAATGCGACTCGGTTCCAAGTGAGTCCCATCCAGGGCATATTTAGTCCTTTTCGTGGTATCCCGAAGCTAACCATTGTGCCTTAGGATACTATGTAAGCACATTAGCATGACTATGCCGGCTATGTGCATTCTAAACAATGTCTAGATTTATTGAAGAGAACAATCTCTACAAGAACCAGCAAAAACAGTTACAAAAGAATCAACGAATGCCCCCAGGGATGCCTTCTCAGGATATGATGGCCTATTGGGGTAGCGTATATGCGCCTCCTTCATTCTAGTGTCTGTTGTTGATTGAATTAGGGTACAAATTCGAAACACTATCTCTTCTCAACCAGCCATGGGACCCGACGACACGTGAAGAGATTGAATCCCGGGATGAGCTGACTGTGAACAACAATGCCCAATACTGCTCAGTTGTACGCACAGGAATAGGCAAGACGCGACTGATAATCGGGGGCGAGGTTGATGCCGGTATGGAGAGGACTAACCTTATCCAAGCGCACATGCTAATAACTTGACAGTCTGGGATTGCAAGCCTACTCGAAAAGAAGACGGTATTCACTGGGTGGAACTTAAAACATCTGCAGAGATCAGAAACGATCGGGACATGTTGAAATATGAGCGGAAACTGCTAAAATTCTGGGCACAGTCATTCTTGCTTGGTGTTCCCAAAATCATTGTAGGCTTTCGTGATCAACGTGGTATAGTCCATCGCTTAGAAGAGCTTGAGACTGCCAGCATACCAAATAAAGTCAAAAATGCTGGTAGGGGTACCTGGGACGGGAACATTTGCATCAATTTCACTAGTGCTTTTCTCGAATGTAGGAACTCCTGAGGCGCTTGACAGTATCGCATACTAATGAGCTTTAGGGCTAAAATCTACTATTAATGAGGAGGGGATGTGGAGAATTCGAAAGCCCGAGAAATCATCCATTATTGAAGTATTCAGACTCGAAGAGAGTGGAACGGGTGATCTAATTTCGCCATCATTCTCAACCTGGCGGTCAAAGACATGAGGTCTGCTAGTTCTAGGCCATGAATTTGTCTCCATATGCTTATTCATATTCGAGGATGCTGAACTATTACATGCGTCTAAAACCAAGCCAAGTATATCCACCGGTCTTACTTACGATTTAATAATCAAGCGGGAGACTGCGGCCGATTAACCAGCTATGGCAGTCATGCACGCATCATGTGGAGCCGGTCAAGCACTTACGGACAGACGTACGGAGTATGGCAACGTTTTGCAGGGTGTGTGGCCCAAATCGTCAATGACTATGGCGACAAGATTTACTACGGGAGCGCTCTGGCACAAGGGAAGAGAATACGAGACCAGATCGTGAACGACTGGTCTATAAAATTCGAGCTTAATATAGGATTGGGTCGCGTTCATATGACGAGCCTTCATGATGCTCCTTAATTGCGTCATTCAAAAATGTCGAAATACTAATGGTTACAATTTGTTCAACAGATCGGAGATGTTGTTACTGTTGCTGTTGATAGTCGACCAAGCCAAGATAAATTTGCATCGATGAGTTCTCTTTGATAGATTTCATATCTATTGAAATAAGTCCGAAAGAAAGTTCTGCTCTTCCAGTGATTCACTGCCTGTGTCACGAGAGATCCTTCTCGTACTGTCTTCCCGAGCCTGTAGAGATTTCCCCCGTTCTGCTCTTTTAGCCATAGCCTTGAGAACTCGTTTATGGCTATGTCCATTGAGATGGACGTTCCACTGCTCTTCATTTACCATTGTTTTGTGGCAAACGTCGCAGGTGAAACATTTCGCCGCGGAACCTGGACGCTCTTGCGACTGAGCGTCTTTTGCGCCCAGGATGGTTTTTGCTAACTCCGAAAGTGACTTAGGGTCCGGGGCAGATTCGTCTTTGAGTAAGGCCTGGGTTAAAAGCTCGGACGGCTCCGTGATGCAATTCCCCCAATCTTCCACGTTTGTGCTATCTAGAAGGTAAAGGCGATGCGCCATACCGGTCTCTGCAAGGGTGTTCCATAGCTTGTTTCGAATCCATTTGACTTGCGATGCTGAATACTGGCGGGTGGCAATCTTGATAGACTCGATACAAGATTTTTTGAGGGTTTCCAATTCGTCACCGCTTAGGGATCTCTTGTGTAGGGCTTCAAAATATGGCGCTAATTCCTTGAACCCAATGGCCACCCAAACGCCCCGTGTCGGATCAATGCTAGAGCCTTGTGTCCTTCTTTCTCGGATATAGTCTGACATCCCCTGTGCTTCAGACATCAGGCCTTGCTCGATCATGACATCCACACGTTTATCAAGTCGAGCAATAAGAGCCTCCCTCTCTGAATGAATCCAGAAAACCATCGTTGGAAACCGTAAATGGCCCTCGCCCGTAGTACGATCACTGTTAGCCAGAGCCGCCTGCTTCAGGCGTTTTTGATCTGCGTAAACTTCCGATGCAGGACGTCCCGTCTGAAAGTAAATCTCCAAGGAACGACGAATTTTTCGCGTGTCGTTTGGATGCCATCGATCAGCCATGACCGGGTCAACCTCTCTTAATTTCTGCAACACCACGTCTGTCGGGGCATCGAGAATTGGCCATTTTGTAGATAATTCCTCGGCCTCTCCGCCGGAGCGTGCACCTGATCCCTGGGACTCGTCCGATCCCTCCCCAACCAGCTGGCCTTTAAACAACACGGCTTGTGTATAGTAGTGAGTTCCGCCCACCAAAATTGGGAGTTTCCCTCTGGAGTGGATGTCCTTAATGATTCGAAGGCATTCGCTTTTGAACAGTCCTATGCGCCATGGCTCTTCATTCAACTCGATGCAGCTGATTAGATGGTGTGGGATATTGTTCCGTTCATCCATTGGTATTTGATTCGTGATGATGGGGAGACCGCGGTACATTTGCATCGCATCTCCGTTAATTATCTCACCGTTGAAACGAGTAGCCAGGTCCACTGCAAGCTATCTGCAGTCATTAGCAATCGGGATTCACATATGATCATCAGCAATGCGATCACCCACCTTGGACTTGCCAGTACCCGTGGCACCGACTATGGCTATGAGGGGCTCCATGTTGGGCGGACGTCTAGCAAAGAAAGGGTACCGGAGAAAAGGGCGCATGAGAGGAGACAAAAAACCATTTTTGTCTCCGGCTAGTCCCCTTGCTCGACAAAGTTACGACAGCGATAGCACGCCAACTGGGGATTGTAGATAGGCTTTTTACTGAAAAAAGAAAAGAAAAAGCCACAAAGGTCTAAATGAGAAATGAGAAATGAGAAATGAGAAATGAGAAATGAGGGGAAAAGATTGACTGGTGGAAGAGGTTAACCTTATCGGGCAAAGCGGAGCAGCCAGGCAGGTTTTATCTGATCTCATCATTTTATGGACTGATTAAATCAAGTACTCCGTGGAAGTAGTAGTAACCCAACATCATCGTTCAGCCCCTCCGATCCCCTTGCCTAGATTTCTCTCTTCTTTCTCTCTCTCTCTCTCTCTCCCCGCCGCCATGGCCAACATACCGTCAATCCAGGTTAAAAATCTGTCATATAAATTTCAGGATGGTTCGTCCGGCCTGGCAGATGTAAGTCTCAACTTACCAGCCGGAAGTCGAACTTTGCTCATCGGAGGTAGGTACACTATTAATTATGGTTTCTCCAATGGCTAACGTCAACGGTAGCTAATGGAGCGGGAAAAACCACCCTTCTACGGTTGCTCGCGGGCAAGCGTCTCGCTCCCGACGACACAATCACCGTCGGCGGCAAGGACCCCTTCAAAGAGGGTCTGGAAGGTGTGACTTATCTAGGCGTCGAGTGGGTTCTTAACAATATTGTTCGGACTGACATTGACGTTCCTACATTACTGGCTTCTGTGGGCGGAAATGCCTATCCCGAGCGGAGGGACGAGCTTGTAGATATCCTCGATATCGACTTGCGGTGGCGTATGCATGCTGTGTCTGATGGAGAGCGGCGCCGCGTCCAGTTGGCCATGGGTCTACTCCGACCCTGGCAAGTCCTACTCCTCGATGAAATCACCGTTGACCTGGACCTGCTATCCCGTCATAATTTCCTCTCTTTTCTAAAGCGCGAGACCGAAACTAGACCTTGCACCATAGTGTATGCGACGCACATCTTGGACAATTTGTCTCAATGGCCAACACATTTGGTGCACATGAATCTTGGCAATGTCAAGCAGTGGGGCCCAATTGAAAAGTTTCAGAAAGAAGTGCCTGAAACATCCGAAAATAGCCAGCTTGGAGAGCTCGTTCTAAAGTGGCTCAAGGAAGATCTCAAGGCCAGAGGTCCTAGAAATGGGCGGCGTGGCCAAGCCAAGACCTACGAGTCGTTTGATGGGATAGGGGGATATGGCTTTGAAAAACGGAACTGAATCAATTCCTCTAATCCTATTAATCTCTTTCTGGTTTAGACTCTCTCTATTCATCTCTTTTCGCCCTTTTCTGTTTTCGTTCTTTGTTTATCTGTTTACTCATTTATCATTTATTTATTTTTGCGACTCATTCAACAATATTTACTTTTACCATGGCATGACATGCATGGAAAGGGTTTCACTGCAATGAAATATGAGAATCAACCCCAACGGTTATATTCGACATTCGATAACTCCTTCAACAAGCATAGATGTCACCAAGATTTTTTGCCTGGTATTTGTATATATAAAGCATATTGCATCTCATGAAACCATGCTGGAAATAGAATATATACGCGTTGAGGTATCTTCACTTGCAACGGCAAGCTTGAGACTATAGTCGTCTTGGCTGGTATCATATTTCGCGGAAGGTCGCCATGCGAGTTGTGTGATCGCCTTGGACGGGGATGTCAGCTTGTCGATATTACCCAGATGGGTTGCCTCCAGGCTGTCAACTGCGATTTCGTATAACGACAATTCGCCGCTATCCTCGCCTGTAGCGAGGAAGAGGGAATTCGCCTGCACCTTCGGGAAGAAAGATATTGCAGTAACGGAGCTCTTCAGTGTGATTGTTGTTTTGCATACAAAGGACCCTTGGCTAATTTGCCAGATTTTCACTAACTTATCGCGACCAGCTGTGGCGAAAGTGTGGATATCCGGAATAGGGGCCCAAGCAGCATCCAAGATCATTCTTGAATGGCCCTTAGGATGAGATTCCATGAGTGAGAACACAGATCGGTCTAGTTCACTGCGGCAGTAAATTGCCCATTGTCGGTCTCGCCCAACACTTAGAAGGTATTGGTCATCGTGAGAAAATGAAAGGCTTGTAATAGTCAAAGAATGTGCTGCAAGGGAAGGCCGTATTTCATGCCAGTCCGATGTATCATAGAGACGAACCACTGCATGATCTATTGAGCTCGCTTTACAGGCCGTAGCAATGAGTGTGCAGTCATGACTGACGGCCACAGCCGATATTTCATAGCCATGACCATAGAGTTTTTCGTGCTCTGGCCATAATGTGTAACGCGCTAGCTGATCTTCTAAGGGTGGCTGATTTGAATCCGAGAGTATTGTTTGATTTTCCTGGGCTTGTCCAATATTGGTGGCATTTGCCTCCTCCCCTTCTCCCTCGCCCATTGGAGCTTCTCCCATCGATTGGTTTGAGAGACCCAGAACTGGTATCTGAGCAGTGTCTGGCAGTTCTCCCTCTGCTGATTGTTTGAATGCAGAAAGTTTCTCTAGTAACTTAGCAATCGGCTTGGGCTCGTTGAAAACCCGCAAAAGCTTCTCGTCTGCACCGGAAACGAAGCGCGCAGGTCCTAATGTATCAACACAGTTCAGATCGTAACCGTGAATTTGTGGCCTTGAGAACTCATGCCACGACTGTTTTCCATCTCGTAGCCACTGTGCATGGAGTCGAGTCGTCTGGTCTGCACTAGTAGATAACAGATAGCCCCCAGAAGGCTCCCACCGTACACCATTAACCGGGCGCACATGTCCCGATATGCCCAGGGTCTGCACCCAGACGTCCGCATCTGCATCGTAGCTCCATGCCCTCCAGCTGCCTGTTCGCCCAAGGCTCACTACTTGGTTACCGTCCGGTGACCAGAGGCCAATCCAGAACCCACCAGTGCTACCTGTAGCTGTAGTAGACCCTTTTTGAACACTAATTTCCCCCATCCTTTCAGCCGAAACCCAAACTCCAGAGACGGTATCTTGTTCCCAGATAGTCAACGTGTTATCCGCAGAAGCAGAGAGAAGCTGTTGACGTTCGGGGCTGGGGTTCCATGTAGTCGTGTAAATCCAGTCCTCATTTCCGAACAACAGAGCTTCGAAAGTAACAGAGTACTTCGACCCCGCTGCATTAAATTGATGAGCTTTATTTGATAATGTCGGTTCGAGTTCGCCTAGCACGGGATCCTCATCTCCTGCCGGCGCTGCAAGGGTAACCTCCCCACGTTGGATTCGCCAGAGTCGAATATACTTGTCCTGGCTAGCAGACGCGAGCAGGATGTCTCCTGTTTTGCTCTGCTTATCCCGCGTGAACGACAGAGAACGCACCCAAGCCTCGTGACCGGACAGCACAGCAGCAAGCCTGAAACTAGTACCACCGAGTGGATCTTCAAGGATGTAAATATGTACGATATTTGTAGTACCTGCGACTGCCAATACCATGGGTCCATCTGCCTGAAGCGGCTTCAGTGCCAATGCCAGAGGAAAAAAGCGTGGTTTCATAACTATTGTTGTGAGTAACTCGCTCTTAGCTCCTTCACCCTGGAATGTTATCCTCCAGATTTTAACACTTCCATCTGCCGCCCCCGACGCAACGAGACCCGCTCCATCACTGACAGCGATTGTGTTTATCGAGCTTGTATGACCTTCTAGAGTTTGCGCATGCTTGAATTGGAGACGGGTATCTGTTACAGCTTGCCATATCCGGACTGTGTGATCGGCAGAAGCAGTGATAAGGAATTTTGTGCTTGTAGTGGGACATGTGTAAAATTTAACGGCATTGACCTTGTCGGTATGACCGACAAGAAGAGAGTAGACCCCACGCTGAAACTTATCCTGCGCGCGAAGTTAGATGTTTAGCCAACATCCTTGATACAAGCAGCAGGTACCAAACACAAGCAATATCTACGCAATCATCCGTACCTTAGGGTCCCACAAAGCCACATTGTTGTCTGCACCAAAGGCAAGCACCCCGGACTGAACATCCCAGTCAGCGGCGGAGGGATGCCTATTTCCACCGACGCTGATATAATCGCTTGTGATGGATACCATGGGCTCGAACTTTCGGGGTGTAATACCTATAGTGTATATTTGTGAGGTTTTTTCGTCGCGTGGAGACAGAGATATAAAAGGAAGGGTTGTCACAAATGCTGGAGGTCATCACTGAATGACTTTTTGTGCTGCGAACCTTTTAGACGCTTATCGATAAGGACGACGACTCACAACACTGGAAAACCCCTCTTCTTTCCCACCACGGCTGAGCCTTCACATCCAGTACATATTGTACTCTCCAACAGGGCTAAAACCAAGCTTTTCTGCATAAAATTTCAACATGACCACCGACACAGAAATTGGTCATGAAAGCGCGAGAGTGGAGGCTCCCGGCTCCTTCTCTGTCTCCGTTGAGTTCACGTTCAGTCCCCCTCGGTATCCGGCTATTACCTTGGTCGATTAAGTTACTAACTTCCTGATATAATATAGTGGTGGCCTTGAAATTCTTTTCTCCAATGAGCGCAAGCATGGTGTCACACTACCTGCTCGACTGAGTGACGGTGGCCGGCCGAGGATAAGCTTCCTCCTCGAACACCTTGTCGAAAATGTGATGAAGGATGAAAGAAAGGAATTGTTCATATTGGAGGGCAATGTGTACGTTTCCATGGAGTCACACTAGGTAACTGCGCTAATGGTAGATACTAGGCGTCCTGGTATCCTTGTCCTCATCAACGATGCAGACTGGGAACTGGAGGGCGAAGAAAACTATGAGCTCCAACCGGGCGACAACATTGTCTTCGTTTCTACGCTACATGGAGGTTAACAGTTCTTGCAATCTATGTTCTCAATCACCACCATTGATGCCACAAAGATGACAGGATCAGGCCGGTAACTATGTTCGCCGCTCTTCAAAACCCGGCTGTACTAAGCACAGGATTAAACAACATCCTCAACATGCTGCTGCGATATTCTTTCGGGCTCACGAGGGGTCCGAAGCCCACTTTGTGGCGTCGAAAACCCATCTTGTGGACTACTTAATCCTCCAATCAAAGGGGTTGTGACCCCACTGGGGGGCACAGGTATTTTGATGTCTTGGGGTGAGCCAGGAATGATTTCCTTGGGGAGGTCCGGAATATGGATTCTGCGAGCCTCATTTTGGTAGCTCTCCGGGATGATCTGAGGAAAGTAGTCAGTAACATGTTCAATAGTTCGACTCGTTGCAATCATACCTCGATTATCTCGTCGCGAGGGAACTCTAGAAATGGAATATCCGCCGCATTACATGCCATAAGATAGCCGTATAGAACCCTTAGGACACTTTCATGTGCAATAATGAGGAGGTCATTCTGCTCACGTTCAAGCTCTAATATTATAGGCTCAAGGCGTACAGCAAGGTCGTGATACGACTATATAGTGCAACTCGGTCAGCAACTATCATATCAACGAGAAAAAAAGTACCTACCTCTGCCCGAGGGTACCTATGGTGATAAGGATCCAATTCATGCTTTGCTACCTCGTCTGGGTATTCTTCACGAATCTTCTTTTCTGACATCTTTTCGCAAACACCTGGGTTCAACTGGCTCAGTTGTGATCTCTGCCGGACTTTGTATCCCGTCTCGTGAAGATACTTTGCAGTTTCGATTGTCCTACGTCTGGTGGAAGTCCAAACTGTCAAAGGTTTCAACTCATAGTCTGTCTCTCCTTGGTCGATTGTTGCTTGCTTCTCGGACTCTCTATGCCTCAGTAGACATTCAGTCATTTTCTTAGCATAGTCCTCTCCTTGTTCTGACAAGGATGCATCAGCTTTGTAAGAGTCCGCTTCCAGGGAAACACCGGCCTGATGATGTATTTGTCAGACACCGAACAAGACATGAATGATGTAAGACTGCAAATTATCCACCCACCCGTGCAAAATAAGTATGTCTAGATTTTATGTGAAGGTTGAGAAGATAAAAAACGATCCGATGAGAAAGATAACCAAAACTTCGATTGTTAACAATCAGCCTTTCACCAGCATTAATCATCTGTTTCAGGTTAGTACACATCTCAAGGCTAAAGAAGAAGCGCTATCACCTTGATATAATTCAGGTCTTTTTCCTCCATCGTTTGGAATTGAGGGATTCGCGCATTAATACGGGTCAAATAGTGCCTCACTGCCTCCTCCGAGGTCCAGCCTACATACTACTAAATATCAATCATTGGGTTCAAAACATCGACTACCGCTGGGAAGGAGCTTGTACTCACGTCAGGTGAAGATATTTTTACACGAAGGACATTCTCTTCGATGAGGCGCTTATCATCGCACCATGACTCGATAAACAGGGTCTTATCCGCGGAAACTCGTAAGCACTGTTCATGCATGGTCACAAGTGATGAGAATTTGCATACCTCAATATCATGCTTAGCGAACTCCTTCGCAAGCGATCGTCGTCCCGAAGCCAAGGGGTTCACAGCATCATATATTGCTATCTGGCCATTTTCATCATTCAGAAATTGATATATGTCTTCCCGACACCGTTTTACAATTTTTTGTCTCAAAAGTACTGAGGAAGCAGATGCTAATCAAGAATGACATAAATTAACGTGAGTCGCTCAGCTACTGAGTAGTACAAATGGCTCATTAGGTAGTTCACTAACCGTTGACAAAAAAGTAATCATCAGGGATATCCTGACCAACTGGGATAGTGGCACGTCTGTAGTCTCCAAGGTGAAAGATCCTGGTCTTAACACCCAACCTGCGATGCAATCAGCTCAAACGAAAGAAGTCGACCATAATAACAAAACGCACCATCGAAGATAGCGCGCCAGAGCTACCGATATATGTCTAAGATTGGTGCAATAGGTCAGTAACGGCGCTAGTATAAATACGGCGGGTTTTGGTAAACAAACGTCTTGCCCCTCGCTGGTAAGCCCACAGTAATGATGACAATTCGGCCCGAGTGGAAAAGTCGACCGGACTCTGTGCTATACAGCTGAGCCGGTGCTAGATCGGCCTTTTCGGGCAGATCATGAATTGCATCAACAAATGTTGACGACTTTCGCCGGAATCGCGGGGAGTTAGCAACAATATCCGCAGTTCTAACCTGATGTCAATGTGAATGAACTCGTATTACAGTAAACCCATATATCGGCTTCTGATCTTGAAGAGCAATTCCCCGAGTAGTAGTCTTTTGTAACGTCCGTGATAATATCAAGAGGAACTGTGCACGGAAGGAACAGGCAATTGGAGGGGCTTCAGGGCAGAGCTTACAATAGGGTGTCCATAGTACAGTGGAATAAGGTCAATGAGGCTCCGAGTCAAGTGAGGTAGCAGGCAACCGCAATATAAAGCGGTGCTTTAGAAGAGTGCAAATGATCGAAAGTCGAAAACGCGTAAGAAAGAGAGAAAAAGAGAAGTGAGAAAGATTCAAGGAGCTAAAGTAATGGGGTTATGTGTGAGAAAGTGTTGGACGAGTACGTTGGTCCAAGTAGTGAACCTTGTGGTTTTCGGCGACGGAGGTATGTATTGTACCCGACTCAAGACCGAATTAAGTCAGTTTTGACCCCCGAGCACAATTAGATAGGAGTGATCGATGCTTCTCTAGATCTTTCCTGAAGCTCTAGGCATTAGCTACACGAGGGTAAAAACGAACCCTTTAGAATCTAGAGCTCTACTTGGACGATTGGAGCTTCTACTATGATACCTGTCTGTTGCGACTTGCTCATCCCAAGCTTCTATCCCGAGAAGGCCCGAAAGAGGCTAGTGTATTTCGGCTGTCCGGAGACACCAAAGGTGCAACCGGGCGGAAAAGCAAAAGCGACTTTTTTCAGTTCCAAAAGCGACGGAATCATCAATACCTCGTCAGTCAAACCTGCCCTGGCATCTTTTTTCCTCATATCCTTACTCGACCAGAGCAGGCCAGACATAGCCCGCCCTTTAAAGGTCGATTTGCAACTGTTGCAGTTGCTTTTATATACTTGAAGTTCAAGTAAAGGGCTGGTCTCAAATCCTTCCTTGTTTTCATCAACCATTTTCTCAGGCCTGCGCGACGACCACTCGTGTCCATTGTTTTTCTCTCTTAACGACCATTAATCCTTTCCAATTAGTCACAATGGCCGAATACCTAGCTTCTCCTTCCTTTCTCACGGATAATTCCGTCGCTGCTGTCATAAAGGATGCATACACTTCTTTCTCAGAGCGAAGGGCGGCTCTCGGTCTGCCAAATCCCGGAACCGTGGATAACATCGCTAGGGAAGTGCAGAAGGAGGTCTTGCTGTCCAATTTTATGTTCTCGGGTCTCCGTGCAGACTTAACGAAGGTCTTTGGCATGTCTCCTCTGTTCCGTGTGTCTCATGCGTTCTCCATGGGCTCGTCGGGGAACCTGCCTCCCTATGCTTTCTCGGCCATGTATGGAAGTCCAAAGGTAGGTTATACTGTCACTCTGTATTCCCATTCACCGTGACTCTACTCTTTACTATGGATGCTGAGTGTATGATCTGGATAAAGGTTTTCATGCAAGGTAACTTCGGAAGCGACGGCGCACTCGCCGCTGTCGGCAACTATCGTTGGAGCCCAAAGCTTGTCACCAAGACCAACACCCAGATCATGGCTGGCGCCAGCCAGGGTCTTATGCAGATCGACAATGACTACACCGGCGATGACTTCTCGGCTTCGATCAAGGCCTTCAACCCATCCTTCTTAGATGGGGGTCTTACTGGCATCTTCGTCGGAAGCTATCTCCAGTCCGTTACCCCCAGCCTCGCTCTTGGATTCGAGGCTATCTGGCAGCGCCAGGCTATGAACACTCGCCCAGAAACTGCGATATCCTACAGCGCCCGGTACAAGACCAATGACTGGATCGCCAGTGCCCAGCTCCAGGCTCAGGGCGTCTTCACAGCATCTTACTGGAAGAAACTCTCTGAGCGTGTTGAGGCTGGTGTTGATATGAACCTGCAGTTTGCGCCCAACGCAGCTGCAGCTCTGATGGGCGGTCCCAGCAGAGATGGCACTACTGCCATTGGTGCCAAGTACGACTTCCGAGCATCCACTTTCCGAGCTCAGGTCGACAGCGCCGGAAAGGTTAGCTGCTTGCTTGAGAAGCGGATAGCGATGCCCATCTCTCTTACGTTCGCCGGTGAGATTGATCAGGCTAAGGTGAGTTGCCTTTCTTTACACCATTCGAATGCCTGCCAGGGTTCAATGTCTAATATGTTCTGTTTTTAGCAATCGGCTAAACTCGGTCTTGCTGTGTCCCTTGAGATCGCTGGCGAGGAACTGATGGAGCAGCAGGAGAAGATTGAAGCCCAGGGCATGGTTCCTCCACCTTTCTAGGTTCTTTCCATACATAGTTGGATTAATACAGCTCACCCGATAGTGGAAGAATGGGATTTGTCCGCATATCTTCCATCCAACTGGTTTTCTTTTCGTCGTTTGTTTTAATAGCTCTTCACTCCCCTTGTGCCTTGCTCGGAAGATGGTGTGTCACCTCCTAAGGAGTTTATCCCCTCGGATGCGGTGGGTTATTTCGAGGACGCAGTCGTTTGGCGCCACGGAACCACATTTTGTATAGAATCACTTTCTATTTACTTGAAATCTTTTTTTATTATCCTTTCACTTTTGTACTTTCCTCCTATGGATCCGGCTATGACTGTCAACCCACATTCTGTTCACTACTACCCTGTTTCTTCCCACGGGCTATTGACTAACCACCAGGACTGCAAGGCATATATGAGAACACTTGCAGGATGCTGTTGTTTGTTTATGCATAATAGATGGGCAATGTAAAATCAGTTTATTCATCATAAAACATCGCTGTGATAATAGTGTGGCATCGCGTTCTCCGGATCTAAGGAACCAGGTGCTCACAGTGGGACATGATGGACTTAAAGTAATCTGCTACATACAGTGGTAAGTGCCTTGTAGAAACCGCGTCATGGTGAAATCCAGCATCTACCGAGTCGCTGATTTGTATAACACGTTCTGCCATTCATTTTGTATCCAGTATTTTGTTGTCCCCGATACAATGTATTAATGTACTAGTAGTAGAACTAAGGCAGGGTCCAAGGCCAACTATCGACCCTACTACTTGAGGTTCATGCTTTCTAGATATCTTAGAACCCCACTATTAGGAGTAGCAGTGGCCCAGGAGATGAGGTTAGTAGCTACTATCTATGGATACCCATTGGCCTACCTGCACGGCTCGTGGTCAATACCAGGACGCGATGGTTTTGTGACTACTAGGTGGATACCTCAGTGAGCACTTCGCAGATCCAGAACCTGTACGGAGCACATTAAAGGTAACGAACTATTGATCGGCCTCCAATTACTAAGTAGTAGTATACTTTCTAGGCGGTGGTAATAGAGCCGTCTAGGGTTACGGAGTATGTTGGTTGTTCCCCATATGCTTTCTAACTACTGACAATATCGACCTAGCAATTTGAGCCTCTAGAGTCCAAGACACCGAGAAATTGGAGAAGAACCGGTAGTATAAAACTTACGGAGTACAGAGTGAACAGTGCACGAGATACTAGTACAGTACTCAGGATACAGTACAAAATATTCGTTTCAAGACCCACTAATAGAGTTATGCCGGCGATTTCGGCTATGGCAGCGACCGGTAAGTACCACCATTAAAACCCTAATTATACTCGGCAACTGTCCAGGCTCAAGACAGAAATTATGATTTGCTACAACATTTATTACAACATGTTCCTATGACATCCAGCGAGAAAATTCGCGTTAGGTTTTTAAGGTGGCAATTTTCGGGTTGGAAAACGGAAAGCGGGGGAAAGTCTCTAGTTAATATACGTACTCTTCGGTGGTATGTACATACGTAGTTGATTCTATTGATCCACTATGACATCAAGCCTTGAGACTGGGGTAAATATCCAGTACAAACTCTGGCGTGTTTTGTTTCTTCGAAGTAATGTAATTAGCTAGTTAGTCGAATGATAAAAATTAAGAATAATCAAGTCCCCCCTCCGACGGTTTTCTTTTCGTAACAGAAAACAGCATTGAGCTATCTTCGTAAATCAATGATAATTCCAACAATCACATTCTTGATTAGTTGTCCCGATTGAAAATTACTTTGCTTCAACATAGCAACAGTCACCTAATAGCTCTGCAGGAAAGGATAGTTGATACTTACTGTAACCTGATGCACTTTTGATCAACAGTTACTTAGATATGTATATATGTATATATATATATATATATGCGTACCTGCTTTCTAGTCTTAGGCCTATATTATATTGAGTAAACAAAAGAACTTAGAAGAGATATATGTTCTCTTATATACCTTAGACATGCGCATAACCGCTATATTATTCACCTGCAAGCATATAACTACATCCTAATTCTATTATACATTCATTTATTTCATGGCATTAGATCCACAGATCTATAGTATATATATTACATTTCTCTAGAGGGTACAGGACCTAGAGATTTATATGATGTACCAGTTCCATAGTTTACCTTCGACCTCACGAGATAATTCATTTTCTTCCATTAAAGAAGGAGAAATGGAAGGAAAGAGTCAAGACGCCATTACTTTTGCAATCTATTCCAAGCTTCACATGGTTATTTTAGTACTAGATAGAAAACCTTGTAAGTTGTAATGTGTATTGTGTTCAGTAACTTCAGTCTTTGTGCTACCAATTGACTCAGAGTCGCTCAGATACAGAAGAAAGGGATATCCATCCAGACACTACTTAACCAGTGACTACTGTCAAGATTACTCAGTAACATAGGACATATATAGAAAACCTAGTCATCATCCTTTGTTACACTGTGCCTTTTACTTTGCATGACTAGTGCGCTGCTGTACTGCTCTGTATCTACAACAGGAGATAGGCAAGTATATATTCGAGTATATATATTATAAATCATGCTACAACTAAATATCAAGCCCTAATTATGAACATTGACTTGTTCTTTTGTCTTACTAGACGCCCTGTTGTCATGGACTATAATCATAGAACTTATAGTGAAGGATGTACTTCATCTTGAGAGCTGTAGCCTGTAGAAACAGAGAGTAAGTTTAACATGCGACTAGTATAGATAAGAAACTTAAAAAAGAAAGCAATATAAATAAATATAAATGGTAGAGTATTTGCAGGAGTAGGTACTAGGTGCAAAATGAAAAATCCGTAAGATAGGTGGTAATGCTATTTTTGATTCTTCATTGTTACCCAAATTCGAAGATTAATTAGTGACCTACCAGTTAGTCACCTTGAGACATCTTTGAAAAGTTTTGGTTAATGGACCGCTGGCCTACTGACTTTCTGGCCATTCAGTGCTCCGCAGGCCAAGCAATGGATACACAATATACTGATTGGGTTAGAGACTGAAGGTGGACAGCCTTGAGTACCAAGGGACAATAAGTTGTTTGAATGAAATTACTAACAAAACAAATTCCAGTGGACTAATCTATCAGCCCCACTGAGTTTTGTTAAAAGAATAGCCCAATGCAATACGTACCTAATTTAGATAATTGTTCAGGTGCTTGATACTGTTACAGAGTACTTTATAGTACTGATACAAAGTTACAAATTTGGCTTCTGTACAGAGTATTATCTGGGATAATAGCATTCCAAAAGACAAGTAAATCATCGTACTACGCTACTAGGTATGCTTGAGCCTTCAATGCAGTAAGAATCTTTTAACTAGGTACAGAGGTGTGCTCCAAAGTTATCAAACTGCGCTAGTAATATTGGCCTCAGATAGAAGTAAAGCCCTTACTGTACAGGTAATAAGGAGTCTATTATCATGTGATCTTAAAACAATACTAGAAAGAATTTTTATATTCTTGTTATATAACTATTGACCAATTGGCTGTCTCTTTAACAAGTAGATATATTTTCTATTGGTTCTATGTCACGAGGCGATATCCCTTATCACCTGTATAGTAAGGGCTTTACTTCTATCTGAGGCCAATATTACTAGCGCAGTTTGATAACTTTGGAGCACACCTCTGTACCAGGTGGATTCTCCCTTTACTGTCCAATGTTATAATACTGTAAAACCCCGCGAGATGAAATGCTCCCGTGCAGGGGGTTTTATTTCAACTCGCGAGGTATTTTATCTGGTGAAAAATATATATTATTGGCTGAACAGCTGACCGCCCTCAGCTATACTACACTGGTACTAGTGTACAGTATATATATGTATAAAAGTGTATGGCTTAATCACGTGTTGCATTGGTAATACAGTAAATATAGGAAAATTGATTGCTGATACCCTGTGAGATGAAATTTTGTGTAGGCCACCCAATTTATTCGTGAAATAGTCAGGTATTTGGGGTATAGTGAAATTTTATATAGGAAACCAAAAATCATACCGTGGCTGCTATCATCTCATAGGGTATTTTAACTCACAAGGTTTCATCTCGCGGGGTTTCACAGTAAATACTTTGGTAATGTATCTGTAATTCCTATCTGCGCTTCCATTTTAATTTTGACAGCCAGATACAAGTTTCTACAATCATAGCCCATTCCCAGTGCAGTATATGTATAGAACTAGGTACTGTTATAAATAGTCTATATATTCCTATCACTCCCTCCTGAGCCTTGCTCTCCTCTGACTTAGGTATACACCAAGATACAAGTATTAAGATAGCTAAAATATATTTGTTTTCTTAACCGTCAAGTTCAATGTATATCTTAGGGCCTGAAATTATGTTGTAAATTTCTTCTCCAAATAAGAGTACCATTTACACTATTGCCAGTACTAATGCTTTATATCATAACTGTATAAACCTTCAGTGAAGCTTTGAGGATGATATGCCTGGTTTCGTTTGTTGGCTACTGTCCATATATTTGCACAAGTTTTACGCCTCTGTAGGACATGTTATACCGATATCACTGCATCAGTGGTATGTGACTAATTATTAATATCTCTATTATCTTATTTTAAAACACTGCCTAGAGATAACATATCTAATTGGTACTATATGCAGAGGATGGGAAATGCAGAAGTTAAGCATCATTCAATGTGTAAGTTTTGGCTTTGCTAGTATTTCCAAATAGAGTAATCGCCTGAGTCACCCGACAATAACGATGAAAAGGAAATGGAATATCTGGTCACGGTTTCAGCATAAGACCAGAATACCACCTAAATCCAAGTTCCACGCGTTTCAACTTCCTACTGAAAAAGCTGAGTCAAGTAATTGGCTGTAACAAGGCATTTTTAATGTGTGAGTGAAGGTCGATGGATTTATAGTGCGTAATATTTATGCAAGGGGTGCAAATTAACAAACTATTGATTTTGATGTGGTCAACAGATCTACCTATGGTCATAAGAGATAGATGTCTCTCCTGAGGTTGATTCCAGTACATACAATTGGAGCTATTGGTATGTATAAATATCTTAACGATTAGTTCTAATTGCATATGGAAGACGGGCATGCTTTCGATGATCATCTGGGGTTTGCCCTTGATTCTAATTTGAGAACGTCTTGACATGAGCCTTAAGACCACTCATGTTTCTGTGGGGTAAGTTCCTAGCAAAGGAGGCATGCAGTCGACCGTAGCCTTCGATGCAGCCATGGGGAAGTTAGGACTCGGAGTAGCACAGCTTAGAACTGGACAGGTACCATATTAAATTTGGCTACGAAAAAGTATGTCGTGCTTAAAATCTATTAGTTATTTCTGTTCATACTCAATAAACTTTCATCCATGCTTTCCAGGATCTAGTGCCAAGAATTTTACAGTTGAAAAGCCAATACCCAGAGTAGGCACAACATAACAAGCTTGGTACTCTCTGATAATGACCACAACAGTGTATTTCACCGAGACTGATTAGTCAATGTTATACTGGTGTCTGTTAACTAACTAGGTAATCAACTACCCCTCTTGGTGGAAGTCGTGGTTGGCTGTATTGTCCTGAGAGCTGCACCAAGCTTGGTCAAAGCTCCTGAACACCTGACACATACCACTACTAGTAGGTAACATTTCCTACTATTCTATATCCCCTACTTAAAAGTGCATAGAGAGTGGTATAACCTCAAAGCTTTTGCCCTACGCATTCCCTGACCACAATTGTGCTAATATGGAACTATCTTACTTGGGAACCTAAGCCTTCCCATTACCCCCATGGTTCCAGAAGGAGGGGTTGTTGGGGGAAGAAAAAGGGAAAAGCAAGAAGCAGAAAGAAAGAATATATTTTGAGATCTAGATCCCTGGTTATAAATACAGCGGTCTGGTATAGTATATGTGATCTGGTAACTACTACTAGTAGTACTAGTACATACTCTGCATACGTAGGAGGCACTGTATGTAGCCAATAAGGATAGTTCCAGTGAAAATCACAGCTGGTCACTTGACAGCTGTCGGGCCAAACACATAGTGTTACTGTTTGCCTTGTTTCTAAAGCTGTTAACAACTTAATAAAAAGGTGCTATATATTTAGGAAAACCAGTATTCTAATACAGATCAAGAATGGTTTACAGGATTTATATATCAGATCTGCAATACATTGTTATATAAAGATCTATAGACAGCACCATTCTTCAGCAGTGATACATAGACAAATGCTATGGAGTGGAAATTTATATACTTCAGAGAATACTTTTGAGAATTGTTTATCTAATTTACTAAGAGTTCAAGAGCTGTCAAGTCATGGTGACCACAATGTTTTAACAAAGCTCAACTAGAGGCGAATATACTGTAACAATCTTGATCCGAGCCCCGAAGAGGGTCATCTGGTATTTCTCCCCATTTTGGCCCATCCTTGCGCCCAACCTTGGGCAGTTGCTCCACATAAGCGCAACCTCCGTCGTCATTAAATCCACCTAAGACTATGGAGTGCAACTCCCAGTCCTGATGAATCGTATCTCATCTTAAACATATCCATTTTTTACTATATTGACCTCAGTGCTAAATATATTTTTAAGCATCTATGTACTGCCTTGCTTCGACTAGGAGCACTGGTACTAGCTGATTATTGGCATTACACACATATAGCACCTAATGGTGTCATGTGATTCGACCGCACTTGGGTATTGTATGTAATTAAACGTGCTGCATTGATACATATATTACTTGGGACCCCTCCTTTATTTTTTGGTTGAATACCCTCTCTGTAATGAAATACGGAGTATCCAGGCCAAAAGAAAGGGCATTTTTCCTCTCCTGACAGGCAACTAACTGGTGCATTAGATAGGTTTTTATAATTATTTCAAGAACTAACACTATTGTGTACAAGATGTTGTTCTTATGCCGGAAGCTATAAAGAGAAATCCTTTGAATTGTTTATACCAATAATCTCAGCCATCATCCACAATCCTCTTGCCTAACTATCTACTCCCGCCCCTCACCAAAAACCCAAAACATTGGTTTTCTGGATCTTACCACTAATACATACATAGTACTCTGTACAGCCAGATATTAAGACAAGTGCTGTTTATGATCTTTTCCTTTTCAAGTTCACTTGGTCATTATCTTTTAGTACTTCTTAAGAAGTCAATAATTTACTTCTTTCTATGGAGTAGTGATTTGTTTAGCTTTACAGTCTGCTGTACCGCACTGGTTCCTCACCCCTCAAAATTTTTTTATTATCTATTGCCTTGATTGCCCTTGTTCTTTCTTTTTTATTCTCTCTTTTTGGGTGAGAATTTCTCCATCTTTGGATTCATTTGTTCGATCGGGTTGGCTCGTGAGTTCCTTACCCTTTTCCTCTCCTCTCCCGGCGCTTTATTCCCGCGTTCCTGCAGCCCTCGCGTGTTCGGGCTTTGTCGCTCCATCAACGTCACCTGCTCGCCCTCCTCTCTTCCACCCTCTCCTCCGACCATCCTACTGCTCCTTATCCTCCTACGACAACCACCACTCTCCTGCCTCTGTGGTGAGACGTAAATCACATCACCAATTTTAATTTTTTTTTTAATTTTTTTTTTCTTTTCCCTTTCCCACTTTTCACTCTCCCCATTTGCTTTTTTTTAACCTCTTGCATAGCTGCAATATTATTTTCGTCCCCTTTCTCTTGGTCGACTGCCACGAGGTTTGCTATTCCCTCTACGAACTTCTGGGGGGCTTTCCCTGCTCTGGTGCGCACTCTTGGCACTCGATCCGCCTACTGGCTTAAGCCTTCCCTCCTGCTATTCGCCCGTCCGTTTCTCAACCTTCCATCTCACGGACACCTCCACTCAACACCCACCGTTCGGATATTCCGCCCATCCAGAGCACCCCTCTTAGCCAGTGCTCCGCCGATTACAGTCTGCCCAAAACGGATCAAACACCTTACGTTTGACTCTACGTTTGCGTTTATTGCCACCATCCGCTGTTAAACTGCAGTCCTCCATATCCTCTATAGCGCTGCCCAACTTGCCGCCTGTGCGAACCCCACAAAACGCCCGTGATGTCACAGAACCGGCCTGGGGTATTCTCGAGCTTGCGCATGGGTGGTAAGTGCTCACCATCATTCCAATTGTTGGCACATATTATGGAGATCATCTACTGACTTCAACTTTTAATCTCGCTTTATAGAAGTCGTCCGTGAGAAGGTCCAGGATGGACTAACAGGGGAGACCAAGGAAATTTCGTACTCGCAGTGTAAAATCGTTGGCAATGGGTCATTTGGAGTGGTCTTTCAGACAAAGATGATGCCCAGCGGCGAGGACGCTGCTATTAAACGTGTCCTACAAGACAAACGCTTCAAGGTATGTGATCGCTGGCCGAAAGTTGATCTTGTTGCCAGTGGAGTATCACTGACAATGGTTCTCTTAGAACCGTGAGTTACAAATAATGCGGATTGTCCGCCATCCCAACATTGTAGAGTTGAAGGCTTTCTATTACTCCAATGGTGAGAGGGTATGTGTTCCCACTCTTATACAGAACGAATGCCCTTGTGCTGACCCTGCCGTCAAACCTCTGCAGAAGGACGAAGTGTATCTGAATCTCGTTCTGGAATACGTACCAGAAACGGTTTATCGAGCATCTCGATATTTCAACAAGTTGAAGACTACGATGCCCATGTTGGAGGTCAAGCTTTACATATATCAATTGTTTCGTTCTCTGGCATACATTCATTCGCAGGGCATCTGCCATCGTGACATCAAACCTCAAAACCTTTTGCTTGACCCAAGCACTGGTATCTTGAAGCTTTGTGATTTTGGCTCTGCCAAGATCTTAGTTGAGAACGAGCCCAATGTTTCGTATATCTGCTCCCGCTATTATCGTGCACCGGAATTAATTTTTGGTGCAACAAATTACACCACAAAGATTGGTAATTACCCGGTGCCAACTGTTTGACATTGGTGAAATTACTAACGATTCCAGATGTGTGGTCTACTGGTTGTGTAATGGCTGAGTTAATGCTTGGGCAACCACTTTTCCCAGGTGAATCTGGAATTGATCAACTGGTGGAGATCATTAAAGTTCTTGGTACTCCCACTCGGGAGCAGATTCGCACTATGAACCCCAACTACATGGAGCACAAATTCCCGCAGATCAAGCCACACCCTTTCAACAAAGTATATTTACCTTCATCTTGGGCTCTCGAGCAAAGTTCTAACGTATTTGTGGCAGGTTTTCCGGAGAGCTCCTCATGAGGCAATTGATTTGATCTCCGCTTTGCTAGAATATACACCAACGCAGCGGCTGTCAGCCATTGAAGCGATGGTTCACCCATTCTTTGATGAACTCAGGGATCCTAGTACTCGGCTGCCTGATTCCCGACACCAGAATGGGCCATCGCGAGAGCTCCCTAATCTGTTTGACTTTTCTCGACATGGTCTGTTCTCACTTTCCAATGCTTACTAGCAACCATGGCTAACGGCTCAGCAGAACTTTCTATCGCACCGGCAATGAACAGTCGGATTATTCCTCTTCATGCACGCCCTGCCCTCGAAGCCCGCGGGATAGATATTGATAACTTTACCCCCCTAACGAAAGATGAAATGATGGCACGTCTTGATTGAGTCAAGGGGTGCAATGCTTACGAAGTACACGGTTGTTCATAGTACGGTCACATGCACGTGTGCGCGAGAGCCTGATGCTATGCCGTACGAGTTCACTTTGATGCACCAGGCGGTTCTAAACTGGGAGATGTCATTTCAGTTGTAGACCCTATTCCATTGGCGAGACATCTGGGAGCTGGTTTCTCTGCGGTGGGGAGAGGATGACTTTTCAGACAATTTCAAAGGTAAATAGGAAATGGAAAAGACAAAAAAAAAGTTACGGAAAGAAACGAGGAGAAAATGTTAGAGGAAAAAGAGTACCACCCTCTGTCACAGCTGAAAAAGGTTTTTCTTTTCTTTTTTCTTTTTTCCCCTAGAGAAAAAGAAAAGAAGAAGAAAAAAACAATAAAAAAAAAAGAAACGGGTATTGGAGCATGGCCGTTTCATGCAAAGACGATGGAATGTCATAGCCTGGAGTTATTGAGGTGTCTGAGACAGCCCTTGGGAAGGAAAAAAAGTGATACCCTTACCGCGTGAGTCTGCCTTCCGGGATTCATTTCTGCATAGCTTCATCTCTCGATTCGAAGGGGTTATAAATGTCGCAAGTCCTATGGAGAAGGGCGAAGAGATGGATATCCTACAAATACGTCAGATATCGTTGAGGATTTTTATGCTTGGATGCACATCAATCATGTGCTAGTGAGCATGCTTTGAATATAGGTATTGAGGTTTAATTTCCTCGACTTGCAGCGTTAGAAATGCCCTTATTTTTGTGCCTTCGCTTCCTTTTTCTTCTCTTTCTCGCCTTCCTTTTTGCTCCTTCAATATCTTTTACTGTTTTTCTTCTACTCTCATACTCGTCCCATTTGCCTTTTTTCGTCCCCTCAATTACTCATTGTTCACATTTCATAACACCGGCTTCATTTGTTTGGCTCGAATGATAATGTTCCTTGACGATGAAGCTGGTGCATAGTTCTTAGTTCCGAAAGCAGACGACTGGTTTACTATTTTCTTTTCTTTTACTTTACCCTTTCTCTTCCACCTCACCACTTCTCTCCTGACTTCCCTCTTCGCCCTTATTAGAGTCACACGTACACTCTGGAACATCACATTCGTTAGTGTGTATAACCACAGTCTTGTAATTGCATTGTTTGACTCTTATTTCCATCATTAACTGTCTCATGCTGTAATTGCAAACTTATCTCCGAGTTTTCTGATACTATTTACCTCTTCCCATAGTCGGGATGGTCTATGGATGTAGGAGGTCGTTATTTGTCATGTTCATCGACGACCATATAAATGCCAACAGACCTCAAAACAGCTGCCAGTAACTGTACTCTAGGTGAATGGGTGAACAACCCGAGTTGACTCTTATATCGCTCTCTCCATTCAGTTACACGGCAAAGGCAGAAGGTGAAATACTGTGCTCCAGGTTTGCGATAGAAAATGGCACTTTTTACAATCCCAATATCTCAAAAACTAGAGATTATAGCTGTATAAAATTTGATATTTAGACTAATATACCGCTACAGAGATATATTTTAGACACAGGAGATCTTATATTCTATAGATAATAAGATAATATATATTACAAAATATCTTCTATAATTTATATAATATAGTGTTTATGGCCATAAAAAGGGATATTAAAAATCTTTAAAAATATATTTCTTATTAATATAGAGTATATATATGTCTATACTAGATATTATATTGCTATTCCCTCTAGTTGTTGAGATATTGGGGTTATAAAAGTACCATTTTCCATGGAATAAAAGGTGGCAGAGCCGCTTACCAGTTACGTGAGTTAACTAATATATTCGGTAAGGAAGCGGGTCACGCAACTTGGTGGGTCAGCTTGGTATGTATATATAATGGCCTTTTTTAAAAGCTCAATATCTTAGTCTATTCAAGTTCTATCTATCTCAAATTTTATAAACAGTCTACTATATATTAAAATAATAGGCTGACAAGTTTAGAGAGTATAGAAACAGTTAATTACCTGGGTGTAAGAGATAGAGCCAGGGTACCGTATTCCACAAGGCCAAAAGGTCATATAATTCGAGATCAACGATCCCGAATGCTCTGGGGGCATCTATATAGTATACCGCCGTTACACTGGGTAATATATATTATATTGATTTTAATAGGATATAGATATAATCTATAGAATTTGCTTTCTAAAATAATGTTTTCTAATAAATATATGGAAGTAGTATATATACTAGTAATTCTTTACAGTTATATATTGATATATATAGTTGTAGTTAAGATATTGAGCTTTTAAAGAAGGCCATTTTGTATACAATACCAAGCTGACCCGCCAAGTTGCGTGACCCGCTTCCTTGCCGGTTACGTTAGTGACTATTAGCATATTATATAATCAGCGGCACGGAGCATCTCTTATCCCGACACTTGGTGAGCTCAGGGTACTGGCAATGTTTTGCTTCTAGAAGCATGTGCACGCGCGGTCTTTGCTCTAATAGACATTACCGGCAGTGGAAGTGTCTGTGGACGCAGCTCATGTGTCCTATCAATTACATACAGCTTTAATAGCCTTACTCAATATCTAGCTCATCTCAATCTGCGAAGGCACGAAGACCTACGTGCCCAGGAGTAGATAGCTATGGTTGACTACGAACGCCGTCATCATGGGCCTAAGGGTGGCCGCAAAAGGCGCTATAGAGGTCAGTGCGAATATTTTTGTTGTTTCTTTATATTTATATATATAAAGCTATGGCATCTACTGCAATACCGTTTCTCTTGGTCCCTCGTATCGTGGTGTTTTTGTTTGCTCTTTCCCCTAACAATTACTGCGGAATTTACAGAAGACGATGACTATGACCGACGCCAGAAGCGCAGATACGAAGAACCTTTGGTTGCGAAGGTCCGAAGACAGCTATTAACCATTGCCGAATCTGTATGATCTCTTTGCTTCGGTGTTGAGTTCTGAATATCAGCGTCATAGCTTACACTTCCCATTAGGCCGCCAGAAGAGCCGAAGACGATGCTGTGAATATTGCAAAAAGCGTCGCCGACAATTATGAAGACGAGGAGCTGAGACAGACTTTCATTGATATCTCAGTTGACCTGTACGCTTAGGCTGGCCCTAGTTCCCTTGTTTGAACGCTAACACAATGCGACCCGTGATAGAGCCCTAGAGCAACCGCTGAAAATCCCCTTTATCGCAGCAACGGTCTTGGCTGCCAATGCCTACAGATCGGAGCTTGTGTCCGACATCCTTACCAAAGCGAGCGAATACTTACAGCACTACATTAACAACGGCGCGTGGCGTGAAGTAAAGCTTCTTCTCCGGTTCCTTGGATGCCTGCAGATATTATATGAGGGAAATGGTATCTTTGCAATCCTGGAAGAGCTCTTTGAGCGTGCCGTTGTTCTGCAGACAGCCTCTTCTGAAGATGTGAGTCGTTTCGCTGTCTATTATGTGCACACTCACTAATAAGTCATGTGTAGTTACTAGGACTGGAACTTGTGAAAATAATTCTCTTCACTATTCCATACATAATGGCTTCTCCGATAACAGGTTTTGAGGCTCAGGCAAATGCCCTTCTCGAAAAGACCGACATCATTGCATCGACCCCGCATGCGTTGGTTGATTTGGTTAAGCCGTTTAGCCCGGAATATGACACTTCATTTACTGCACAAAGCGTTATTAGCCTGCTTCAAAGTCAACTCCAGCAGGAAGCCAGCCGGAATTGGGAACTCGCATGTCTTCCTCGACCGTGGAAAGGTGGACGCGATAATGAAGAAGAGCAGAAACCCCTGGAATCCGGCGCAAAGCATGCATTCCCTGAAATAACTGTGCCCGACCCTGTACGAAATGGATCCAGGGCGATTTTCCCTGAAGTTTACATGTCCGTATATTCCAACCAAGAGGTAGAAACCGTCCCTCCAACGTCGGATATTGCGTCATCTCTGCTGCGTGACGCTCTTGTTGACACGATCAACATCCTCGACTTCAACCGTATTGCCACGGCCAAGTATCTCATCGACATTGACTGTTACTTTACACCGCATACTTTCGTGAAGCGTGCAACCCCCTTTGACAGATTGCGCGATATCTCCGGAGAACGTCCGACGTGGAAGCCCGAAGACGTGGCCGTGGATGCAGTTTTCTCACAGTTGTTCCAACTTCCTTCCCCGCAGCACAAGCTTGTGTACTATCACTCAGTTCTCACAGAGTGCTGTAAGATTGCCCCGGCTGCCATCGCTCCGAGCTTAGGGCGTGCGATTCGCTTTCTCTATCGCAGCTTGGAAACGATTGATCTAGATCTAAGCCACCGGTTCTTAGATTGGTTTGCTCACCATCTAAGCAATTTTGGGTTCACATGGAAATGGAGTGAATGGTCAGTCCCACCGTAACCATACAGATCCCTGTCTTAAACAAAAACAAAAAGGAAAAAAAGAAAATCATGATGATAATAATAACAATAGACGAAGAACACAGAATGAGGGGCTAACCGTTGGAAAAGGACCGATGACCTTGAGCTTTGCTCAGTTCACCCAAGGATGGCCTTTATAATCGGCGCGCTGGACAAAGAGATCAGGTTAAGCTTTGCCCAGCGTATTAGAGGAACGCTTCCAGACCCTTACCAAGAGTTGATTACAGAAGGCAAGGAGAAGGATACTCCTGACTTCAAATACTCATTGGATAGTAAGTTCATGCGCTCCAATCCTGTCGTGGACCTCTTAGAATTTGTGGACTTATCATCATCCTCAATAGCCACACCTTATGCCAACGAAGGCACAGAAATCATGCAGCTCATCCGTAAGAAAGCAGCAGATGACGATATCCAGCCAATAATCAGTTCTATTGAAGAGCAAGCTAGGGCGATGGGAGTTGAGGACCCTATGCTACCCTCAACAGATGCGTTCGTCACGGCGATTTGCTTCGTTGGGTCAAAATCACTTTCTCACGTACTGTCTTGTATCGAGCGAAACAAAGAACGACTTTTAGCCATTGGCCCCAAGTCTACTCGTGCACGTCGCCAGATTATAACCTCTGTTATGGAATATTGGAACGATCAGCCAGGAATCGGCATCAATATCATCGACAAGTTACTGAATTACACTATCCTGACGCCGCTATCCGTCATTGAATGGGCACTGGTAGACAAGTTGGAGGCGGGGACGATTTTGGCAAGAACACATGTTTTTGAGATGATATCATCCACTGTGGGAAAAGTCACCAACCGTCTGCGCCAAATCGTCGCTGCACGGACTCAGCCGGGTCTGTATGAGCCGCAGTTGAGTGTTCTAGATGAAACCTTAAACCGTGAGATGGCAGATATGCAGGCGCTCTTCAAAGTTATTGAAGATTCGATTGTGTCAGTCGCCGGAGGGAACAACGATGAATTGATGGAAAGGGGTGATGGAAGTGGTGAGCTGCCAGAGGACGAAATCATCAGACTATGGGGTTGTCGATGGCTGAGAGCGTTCAGGCGAAAAGCCGGTGTCGAGGAATCATTTATCGCTGAAGCCATGACAACTGCAACTCCTATTGGGACAATGGCTCCTCCGCCCCAGGAAGGAACTACGGCTATGGATGGTCCAGCAGATGGAGATCTGGACGTCGCGGATGCAGATGGGGCTGCAGATGTCTTATGAGATACTCATCTGGAAGTCATCGGAAGGTTTTGGCATGTTAGCCTCTGCCGTCAGTATTCGCCCTTGTCTTCGGCATCATACTAAATGAAGATTAGCTGCATTCTTCTTGTCTTTATTATATATGCCTTTCAGGGGGGTTCTTTCTTTCTTTCTTTAAATAAATAAATCAGGGATGAAAAGAAGAGAGGACCCTTTCAGACTGTAGTTTAAATATTGGTTCGATCTATTCACTAGCTGACGTTAGTAATTTCGAAAGGTATTTAACTTCTCAAAAGTCACTACCCTGTCTCATTAAACCCACTATATAAGTTGGGCATTATTAGTAACACTAGATGTTGAAAGAGCAGCATGTAGAAGCAAACCGTGACTATAACTGGTTTCCATTCTCAATATCTATATATAGATAGATGTACTTGTATATTGATTACAGCATATAATCCTATGACCACTATTCAATTCAATAGGTGGTTGCCTGCCAACACCATATATGATCACACACCTAGTATTCTGGCAGGAAAATCAAGATGGTGCAATCACAAATTGGATGAAACTGGGTAATTTGGCCTCATAGTACTTTGGCGATTCAAATTCGACAGGTTGTAAAAGGTACATCTAAGCATAGGGCAAGGGCCTGAATCGGGGCAATGAGAAACGAGTAAGACTGCTCTATAATGATTTTCATTCCTGATTTTAATTAAGATTGAAATATGTATGTACAACGAAACCATAAATATAGGAGGGGGTTGCAGTGATTTTCACCATTGACAATGGTTCATATCACGAAGTGTTGGTGACTGATTATGAATACGAAAACAGGAATGCAGTAATTAATATACTAGAACCAGTATTATACGACGTGGTCAGGGCAAAGACACACGCACCCGCGGGATGAATTAGAAAAACATAAATATCGTAGCACTCACTGTCAGAAGCAAAAGATCCAACTCAGGGTATTGTTAGCGCCATCCCGAAGACGGCTGTGGCTCTACCCCGTTAATCTAGCGGGGCCCAGAAAGAACTTGCCGCTCCCCGAGAGGAGTTTGTCAACCTATACTATTCGTAACGGTCGTCTAAACCAGTCAACAGTAGTTCCAAGGATGTTTGAATGAAAAGAAGACAGGAAGTGGCATGACAGGCCCTGTAGCGTTAATCACAGGTCCTTCTTGGACTCGTCTTCGACTAGGTATTTGCGATCATCGTCTCCCTCGACGTGCTTGAGGATAGACTCCATCTCTTTGGTTTGTTTCTTCCATTCCTCCTTGTCCATCTTTGTCTCACGGCGGAAAAGTTCCTCGTTTGGTTTTCGATAACTCCCTCCCAATCGATCCCATAGTGTGGTAAATTGCCCATAATTATAGTTGAAGTAGAGATGGTGCATTGTGTGGCAGGCAGCTCCATTGATAACCGGGCTGTTGGCAACATATTCGCCGTCATGGATCAATACGGTCCAGAGGTTGATAAATCCGAAGAGAAAAACATAGGCGACCTTCTGAAGTGGAAAGATAAACGGAAATACGTGGTATGGGACACTCTGAGACCATCCATCCAGCGGATGGAAGGCATGCGAGGCGAATGGGCTGGGCATAATCCACTTATGGTGCGGCTTATGTAGAGACTTATAGATCAACGGATGGTGTAAGCCGCGGTGGATCCAGTATATGCAGAAATCGGTGAATGCAATGAACAGCGGGAACTGTATAATGCTGTAGTACGGAAAAGGCTCGTCGGAGAAACCATCGTACAACTTGGCATAACCCCGGACCTCGGCGACCAAAAAGGGGGCAGTCAAAAGTGACATAATGGGCATAGATCCCATGGTCTGTGCAATCTCCATGGGAATTTGGTTTTTGAGGAACTTCGGGTGTTTGACAGTAGTCTTATCCCAGATAAAAATATAAGATAGTGTTGCAGATATGAAATATGTGATAAGGCCGAATATCCTTTTCCGTCGATGATTAGACGCCAGATGAAGCCTTAGCGAAAGGGGCTTTTTGCATACCAGACAATCAAGAAGAAACTCAGAAATTGGCGGTAGATATTGTTCCTAGGCCAAGCACTCATGTACGCGTACTTCGAGGGTTCCAGATAGATCAGGTGTGTGGCCGGTTCGTAGATGAAGGGCTGGGATGCGCCGAAGAAGGACAGACTGCTATTAGCCGCATGATTGAAGCCAGGAAACGAGGCTGAGGACGAAAGGGAGACGGGGAGAAGTGCGGCGTATAAGCGGTCACCAATAAAGGTGTCCCAGACTTCGAGGGCGATGTCCATGATCCCTTGAGAACCAATTTGAAAGGTGGTATAATACGGGTTGTACAAAAGAGAAGACGATCACTAACTCGCAGTCCGTCTCAATTGTTGCAAAGAGTTGGAAAGACAATGAGAAAGCAGAAGAGAGGAGAGTTAAGTCGAGGGGTCCGAAGGGTGGGTTTAAGGATAGGTTGGAAATTAAGTAGAGTGGAGAGAAAAGGAAATTGATGTGAAGCATGGATGGGAATGAATAAAATGAAAATAGCCTATAAGGACCAAGCTCGGCATCACACCAGGCGGAACACTCTCAGCCGTTCCCCGTTTTTTTGTACCTTTCGAACTCGGACGTCTTTTCGCGGTTCAGAAAATGGTGGTGGGGAGGTACTACTTACTATGTATCTGGAGTACTAAGTGAGGAGGTCAAAAAATATAAGAAACAATAAATAAATAACAATAATAATAAAATAAAACTCTCACACAACCAGATCAATAGGCAGATATTCATCCAATCATTGTGAACCACTCAAAGGGACAATAACTTGTCAGAAGAAAGTTGCTAGGTACATACACACTAGGTATTATTATACAGTACCTTGCAGATATTGTATTTGCCAGCTGCCCTGCTACTCAGCTATCCAACTAGTAGTTATCTCTATATTAATAAGATAGCCTTAACAGTCTTTATAAAGGTATGTAACCCCTTTACAATAATAATAATAATAGGCTAGTAGGCTATAGTTAGACAAAGCTCTTCTTTCTAGTATAAATCAGGATTCAGGAACAGTTATAGGTATTTTTTTTAGCATCCACACAGAACTGTGGAATACTATAGAAAGATTTCCTAGATCTCAGTTTCAACTTTCCCACATACTTGCGTCAACACCTGTAAATATATAAATCTACTTGGGAGATAGAAATAACCAAAGTATAAATTTCCCAAGAGTATACCAGTATATTGGGACATACAATGCATGATTCCGACTGTTACCAGTGGGATTTATCAGAGGGAAAGAGTTATAGGAATAGATATCTAAGTTTAGTTCCTCTTTACTCTATATCTTGCAGTGACAGTGAATTATTGGATACAGTATCGCGTACCTTTCTCAAGAAAGTAGCTCACTGCCGCTTAGCATTGTGGTGCGTGATCTATAAAGATACCTTCTTACACCCTTCCTGAGGGCGGCCAACTCTCGTGGTTGTTTTCCTATTTAATGGTCTTCTCATAACTTAAAGGTCCTTAAGATATTGTTACCATTGGGCTGATTCTTCTGTGTTCTGGGTTTTGCTACTTCATTTAGCGTAGTAAGTCTGATTATTGCGTGTTGTTTCCGGGACCGTCGACGAACCGATTCTTGTTTTCTTCAGTGGAGAATAACAGAATGCGATATGAACATTGCCATTCCTGGACTCGATAGTGTTACTATAATGTGGTATATATTTTTTGCTGCCCTGATGGACTTACTCATTATCGAATAAATGGATACTGCAATTTTTAGGCATAGGTTACACATTCGATTTTTTTTCTTGAATAGTATACTAATACAGTGGGCAGGAGTAAACACAGTGTAGAAGGACATTTTCGATATTTAAGTCTGACCTGACAATCGAACACGAAACATATAATCAGTATATATAAGACTATTGATAAAGGTATAATCTATAGTAAAAACGGAAAACTCATTTCGACTCATACAAGCTACGACTGTTTTCAAAACTAATACTAATCGCTGATTAGTATCCTGGCTATATATATATTGACAGTGTAATGATTGTTGATCAATCCGATATTTAGGTTATCTTATACACAGAAATGTGTTCTAAGAGGTATGTATATAATTGCTGGGACTTGCAGCTTGCTGGAAGTGTACATTAATCCACATAGATATAATATGTCTATCTTGTATGTCTTATGGAAGGTGTAACTCCTTACAAGGGAAATCATAAAATATTGAACTATTGGTATCTGTCTCTGAAGTATCTGGGTATTCTTGTATTTTCCTCCGAATGAGGCAGTCGGTAGAGTATTCCGAGTCGCTCAACTCTCTATCTTGAGTATTGATGCCGGCTACCCTTCATAATAGGGCTATGGTGATCAATTATAGCCGGGCACATGTTAATTGTCCTATTGACGACCAAAAAAGAGAGGGTTTGACATATTGACCAGGTTTATAAACAATCTCCTAAGACTCTTGACTTCAAGCCGTGGGTATTTATGTTCGTTTTGGGGAGTCTGCAGGACCAGTTCTCTTGTGTAAGAGAATAACTATCGTTAGTTAGGTAGACTTAATACCTAAGCTATAGTTAGCTAGTTAGCTAGCTAACAAACTAGTTAACTACAGGGTGTAACTAAGTACTACGTAAGTTACCACATAGACTACCCGCTACCTCAAATACTAAAACAGACTGACGAAAACTACCTATGTCCAAGGGATTGTTTGACTCCTATATTCTTTTGTAGTATACATTGATGCTGTCTAGGATATTTGTACATACATAGTTACTGGTCCGTACTTAGTTCTGTCTGTAAGACCTCAGCATAGTAGATTTTAAGAATTGATACCCGATCCGGAACTCCGGGACATCGGAAGATACATAAATATTGCTATGCGGCCTCATTGTCACTCTAATAGCCCATAGATCCTGTATCGGGTAATATGTATATATATAGCTGCCCGGCCTTGTCTAAGTTAAATACTACTATAGCGTACGATAAAATATAAGGAAAAGAAAGCTCGAAAATATGACCATTTAAAATATTCAACCATCTTTGTGGTGCCTGCTTGTGTGCATTGTTGCTATGCCAACTGAATCGGTGACTCAAATATTAAACTACTGTGTAGAACTCCATCACTGAAATAGGTAACTTCAGTACCGAGAACTGTTACAATACAGCTACACATCCCGTAAGTACTTTTATATATGTATGTACATACATCCAACCTCCCAAGTCATTTAACTGATATGAGAATGTCACATTTGTTGTTTTAGAATACAGAGTATTATATAATGTATTTCTCTATCTCCTTTCTTCCCTTCCATCTTCTTTTTATAGAAAAAAAAAAGATAGAATGAAATAGAATAACAAAGCAAAAATATTAAGCCAACATTTATTGAGAGCTTGTGGCCGGAAAAGACCAAAAAGGTATATCATGATCATACCAACAGTAAGAGGGTCAAAGAAATGACAAACTATGGAAATATAGGTACACCATGTAAAATAGATATTGTGGGAAAACCTCTGGCTATGTCAACACTAGGAGTAAGTATGTACAGTACCATGGACATAAACCCACTTTGGAACTCTTAATACTGTCCCTTCTCTGCAAACGGTCTTTCGGGAAGCCCCGCCAGGCTAAAAAGGGGCCAGTCCCGTCGCTTGTTCGCCTATCGTCTCGCTTCTCGCGCCAAACCTTCAGCCGCCTTCCTGCCCCCATCCATTTCCAGCCTTGATCTCCGTGCTTGAACTGTCATCTCTAAACCTCAACTGCATCTCCTCCCCCTACAGCCCCTTCCACGTCTTTACCGCCACACAACATCCGCCCTTATTACCTCGATATTGCCACAGCGGTTGGTCCTTAGGGGCGCGCTGTGATGCGGCTGCATTGACTTTCTACCAGCAGCCTTTGTCGTTTCTGGTCGGCCCGTTTGTCAAGTCGAAACTAACTGTTCCTCACCTCGCGCGAACAATCTCTTCGTTGGCCCTGCCTGGTCGCCCTGAGTTATCTTCAAATATACCTTTGATTCTTGTCAATATACTGGACACAAAGACCAAGAGTAACGCGCAATGTATAACACACATCGCGGGATGGTTCCCGCTCCCAACTCCCGCTTGACGGAGTTGCTTGATCAACTGCGCCAGGAATTCGAGAATCAATCTAGGAGCACTGGCGAGTTTGAACATCAATGTATGTGTGCATTTGAATTATCTTCCTCTCTGATTATCAGAATCTCCCTCGTGTCAACCTTCATGCCCAGTCCCGTCAAGCATACTTCCTACAGGTTCTAGCGTGATCGGGTCCTCCACCGATACATCTGTCGCATGAAGTGCGATAGCTTGCTGGGAATTGTTGGGGGTTCTTCTATTCAGAGAAGGAAATTAACGTTAGATAAAATTGATAACTGACAATCCTCTCAGTAACCGGACAGCTCCAAGAAATGGAAATGATTCGGCAGAAGGTCTACCAGCTAGAGCAAGCACAAATCAAAATGAAGCAAGAGTACGTGTCTACAGAATGACCTTCCAAAGACAATGGCCCTTTTGGAAGCTAATTCTTTGCAGCTATGAAGCGGAAATCCGAGTGCTGCGTCATGAGTTGGAGTCGCGCGGTGTTCAACCAGTCTCGTCCCATATTGCTGGCCCAGCGCAGCACGCTGGCCCTTCTCAAGCCCCCCCACCCGCATTGGGTCATGGCCCCAGTAATCTATTTGGTGGGATCATGGCCAACCAAGGAGGTAGTGGCCCCGGTCTTGCCCCTCCCCCTCCCCAGGATCAGCAGCCTCCCCAGCATACCCTTCAACAGCCTGCTCCCGCGGCTCAGCAAGGAGCGCCGCAGCCACCGCAGAGCTCTTTTGGGGGATATCAGCCTGGTGCTGCTGTGAACGGTATGTTGTGACTGAGTTGATAGTGGGTTCTCTGATATCTGACCCGTACTCGCGGATGTTTTTTACAGGCTACGCACCTCCGCCTCCACCCACCGCCTCTCCTGGACCAGGAAAGAGACCCCGTGCTCCTCCTGGACCAGCAACTCCCCAGCAAACCCACCAACTGGCCTACCCTGATCCTCGTGTGTCGCCTCAGTTGGCTCGGCCCACCCCACCTAGCCAAGCCCTTGTCCGTGACCGCCCGGGTAACATGTTAGCAACTGGAATCCAGATGATTTACCTGCGTCGCAAAAACGCGAGGGTGCTGATTGGTACGCTGTATTCAACCCAGAGGTACAGCGTGTGTTGGACGTCGAGCTGGTACATCATCTTGTTCATGATAGCGTGGTTTGCTGCGTACGTTTCAGCCGGGATGGCAAATATCTTGCAACCGGTTGCAATCGTTCCGCGCAAATTTTTGATGTCACGACCGGCCAGAATGTGGCTACCCTTCAGGATGAGAACGTGGACAAAAACGGCGATCTTTATATCCGCAGTGTTTGCTTCAGTCCTGATGGCAAGTTCCTTGCAACCGGCGCGGAGGATAAGCAAATTCGGGTAAGTCCGAGGACAGATCCTCTGTCACCGTCCCTACTCGTGATCTCTACCTTTTTCCACCCTTGCGAGTACTAGCAACAGTAATTGCCTATCATATTCTTTGAACTACATATCTTCACCCGCCCACCCGCCCCCCTTGTTTGATTATTTGATCAGGAAACTAATAGTGTGGGCTTAGGTTTGGGATATTGCCGCTCGCACTATCAAGCATATCTTCACTGGCCATGAGCAAGATATTTACTCTCTTGACTTTGCTGGCAACGGCCGCTATATTGCTTCCGGCAGCGGAGACAAAACTGTACGCCTATGGGATATTCTGGATGGTAAGCTTGTGTATACTCTCAGCATTGAAGATGGTGTGACAACCGTTGCCATGTCCCCCGATGGTCACTACGTCGCAGCTGGCTCTTTGGACAAGAGCGTTCGCGTCTGGGATACTACCACTGGCTATTTAGTTGAACGGCTGGAAAGCCTGATGGGCATAAAGATAGCGTTTACTCGGTCGCGTTCGCGCCAAACGGCCGGGATCTAGTTAGTGGTAGTCTTGATAAAACTATCAAGCTCTGGGAGCTAAATGTTCCTCGTGGTGCATTCCCCGGGACTGGTGTCAAAGGGGGCAAATGCATTCGGACTTTCGAGGGCCACAAGGTTTGTTAATATCCGCAACTGCAGCTACGACTTGCTGTTTACTTAGGCAAAGCCATATAGATACTAACCGCACTTTCGGGTTAGGACTTTGTGCTTAGTGTTTGCCTGACTCCAGACGGACACTGGGTTATGAGTGGTTCCAAGGATCGGGGTGTCCAGTTCTGGGATCCGATCACGGGAAATGCGCAGATGATGCTACAGGGCCACAAAAATTCTGGTTAGTGTAAAAATTCCTGCGGATGGTGCCTTCGTCTAACTTGGTGATAGTGATATCGGTGGCTCCCAGTCCGACAAACAACTTGTTTGCCACTGGTAGTGGTGACATGCGTGCAAGAATCTGGAGGTATGTACTTTTATTGACCACGCTGCTGTCGTTTGACAAGCCTTCCGATACCATATTTCATGAAAAGGTGTTTCTGACCTCGTTTCCTCTTTTGCTAAGGTACTCTACATACACTGGACGGTGATGGGATTCCCTGAGAAGGTTCGGCGCACATTTGGCTTTGTATTCTCTATGTTTCACCTATCCCGGCTAGTTTGGTTTTCACTTGGGTGCTGCGCTGCCCAAGACCATTTTTTCTTTCGCTCGCAACCTCCACATTTACCTCATGAGTGAGCTATGGGTCATGTCAAGTCAGAGAAACAAAAAGGAAAAACGAAAACAAGATAAAAAAAGAAGGGCAATGCGTGTATGGATAGTAATTTGGCTGATTGTCGATTTTTCGTGTGATCTTGGGCTTTACTTGTCATGGACTAGCCTGGTAGTGAATTTGAAGGAGCTGGATGCGATAATCTCAAACGCGCATTGCGGATGCCTACTTATTGTAGTGGAAGGTGCGACGAACTTCCATATGAATGAGAAACCGGGGTTGGCGTAAACATCTCCTATCAAATCACCTTGGGCCCTACAGGTTGGATGGACCTCAAATTCAAGCAAGATTATCTACCTTAGTTTGTCGACCTTCCCTGCCCCTTACTCCCCTTTGTTACGGGAGGGAAATCTTTGGGTATTTAGTGAGGGGCTTGTGACTCCCATGCTGTACTTATTGCGTTTGAGATTGTAACTGAGCTGGCCGAGACTATATTTATTGCCTTATGAAGCATCATCTCACCTCTTTGTTTTTCTTCTTTGATGCCTTCGGTGAGGAATAAGCTGACATCATGTCAGCATGCAAATCAATGACAGGCAGCATGAACGATATGTTGGATCACCAATATGCGGCCAGTACTAGCTCCGTGCTATACTTATGGTAGGTTACTTTGGGTGTATGCCTACACAGTAGGAGGTGAAGCGCAATCCCTGTTCTCATTTCCTGACTATTACTAAGTCAAGATAGAGAGTGTCATCCATCAAGAGTACAGTGTAAGATAGAGAGGGAAGGGTGACTAGAAAGACTTCGTAAACACCCTAACAGAATGTATTAAGGTAGCAGGGTCGGGCCCTCAGCTGACTGCATGGCTTTCCACTAGTGTATTGAAGTATAGTTCCTTTACTGTACGATATAGAGTATGACTGTCGATCGCCTTACTCTCGTAATTCAATAGCCCCCTAGGTAGCCTAGAAGAGGCAGTTTTCAGACCTGGTATTACGACAAGCATGGTGGTACAGCTCAGTGTAATAGAGGTGAGTTGGTTACTACATTGTTCACCTGGAGTAGCGCAAACTGTTCAATAGATCAGACAATAGACTTGATAATCATAAAAAGCTTCATAATAAAGGTCCTAATTTAAGATCAAAACAATGAAAATCTTGAGAACTACCCTGTGCTGGACAGTGCCATTGATCGGATTATGGACATTAGTCCTGATTATGATTCATATAAAGTAACCAGAAAAGCAAGAATAAAAATAGGTTAGCAATCCTACTAGTCCTCTTACATATTTAGCAAGCCCTGACGATCACGAGGGATCTGGCCATTCTAGCTTAGGTTGAATACTAGTTCAGGAGCCCATCACAAGGGAGGGGAAATCAAATTTAAAATTAAAATTAAAAAATAAAAAATGGCGAATCGAATCAAACCAAAGAGGTGCAGTGCATACACCTGTCAGCACCTGTCAAGCAGTGGAATTTTCGGAGCATGGGCGGCTATTGGGAAATAGGTACAGAGTATTGTATCTTACAGGCGGAGAGAATTCAGTGCCACGCTGATCCGCTGAAAAGTCGGCAGGGAGAAAAGAATGACAAGCTCAGTCTATTTACTTCTTTCTTTCCCTTTTTTACCTTTTTATTTACCTTTTTAGGTTGTGGAAATCAGCTTGAGTAATGATGATCAGCAGTTTTCGCACAGAAGCCTGTTAAATGAAGAAGCTATCTATATTATACCGCTCCTTTGGTAAGCCTAACAAATCCAGTAGATAATGGGATTGTCTCCTGCATCGGAAGTGCAGGTGGGAAGTACTCCATCTGGCAAGCTAAGATCACGGACGAACCATACACTGAATGTACTATATGAAAGCTAGGACACTGCTCACTGCTAACTACATACGACGTTCCGAACCCACTGCAAGGGCTCGAGGGGAATACCAAATGCAATATCCTCCGAAATAAGGGATCGGAGCAAACATCGTGCATGCCCTTTTTCCCTGTCTAGGTTAAAGTGGCTTTTAGGAGACAATTCCAAATGAATTAGCCCGTGAAGAGCTCTATAAAGCAATCATTTGCCATTCCTTAGTACACTTAGCCATGATCATCTACCCAGTTTGCCTCTAGGACTGAGCAGAATCGATCAACTCTGCAATGGGACGTACAGTGCCTGAACCAAGACAGAGGATTCGAAACCCCTGCTAGTAGATCCCTGTATGATGGTTTGAAATGGTATCCTACTAATAGATTAGCGCATGTGATGTATCTTTTTTTTATCCACATCCACTGTCTGCTTCCATGTCTTTAGTAAATCCTTGTTAACCAGGTAATGGAAGTTGGATGCCATTATCCAGTCAATCAATACCCTCTTCCTTGTGTGCGGTAAGTATGTACTATACATCCATACATATATTCACCTAGAGGTAAAATAACAGTACATTTGATATGTACACCGTAAAATTTCCCTCGCCTTTCGGGGGAGGATCACTCGAGCTCCACTAGGTTTATTTTTTTTTAGTGTCTCGTGTTGTTTCAGGCCAGTACTGAGAACAACTGAAGGGTACCGGATTAGAGCTGGTCCAATCAATCTGGACGAATCAATCAGTGACATATCCAGGATGGACCTGCTACCAGGTAACTACTTAACATTTACCTTACGCGGCCGATGGATATCTCAAGACCACGTATTCACGTTGAATTTTTCCTTCGTACTTTTCTTAACAATTTTCCTATGAGTTGATTGATATACCAAGAGGTGGAATGACGCATCGATCCATGGATCATCATCATGAAGAAGGCCCGGCCCGCTACAGCAACGGGGGATGGTTGAAATGGTTCTTCCTTACTCACAATGCGCTCGCTATCCATACGTAAATTTTACAGCCACAAGACCCTCTTACACCTAACTTCTCTCACTCTCTCCCTACCTCACTCTCTGTCATATATTCAAGGGTAATTGATTTACTGCCCAGAAGTGTCGATTTATGGGGTTAAAGATCAATGTATGAAGAGTGCTATACGGGATGGACGATATTAGTACTAACCTACTAAGGCAGTGGAGGTCCTGAGACTGCTACGGTCTACGTATGTGTGCGTGTGGCAAGGAGGGGTGGGGACAGCAATTCCTTTTTTTCCTTTTTCAACTGTAAGGACGGAGTATTGGTCAATAGATGATCGGACGCTGGGATAATACACTTACTCTCGTACAGAGTACTCCATAGAAGCTCGGCCAAAGTGTGCCGAATCGTAGGGAACTGAAGCATGACTCGCAGTGGATCGGATGTGTGACGCGTGACTAAGAAGTTTGAAAACCTGCGTGGAGCAAATCAACTAGACTGGCCATTCATTGGTGAAGCTCGTTTGTTCTTGTTCGACAAGGTAAGAGTCTACCTAACCACGAGTTCGAAGGTCGTCTAATTGGGAGGTCAGGTAGGTATCCTTGTAAGTATTAGTAGACATTCGTCGCCAGCCGCGGCTGTCGCGAAGACTGAGGCGCATTCCCACCGACGCCAAGGAATCCATCCAGCGGGGCCCTCCAGCAAATAAGATACTACGGAGTTCGTAATTTCACACTATTGACCGGCTGCGGACGGTCCGTTCTGTAGCTCTGCCGGCGAACCCTTGTCATAACTTTGCGGTACTTCTGTCACCCGCACGGTTTCTTTTAATGTGGCTATACTCAGGAAACCCTCCCATTGGAGGTTGAGCGCTGAATGGTTGTCCTAACGGCAGTGCCATCTATACTCTGTTTACATATATTACTATATCTCCAATTCCCCCATGTTTTGTGCATACGTTGGGTATACGAGCTGATTCCGAACGATCCATGAGACTTTGCCTCATTACTAGGACACAACATCCTTGACTCCGAGCATCCTTCAGCTCCCCCAGCTTAGCAGCACTTTGTCATAGCTCTCGGGCACCCTGCGTATTTCTGCAGCCAGTCTTAAAATTCCCATCCGCTCCGAAGCTGCATGTGGCTTACCCTCTGTGTAGTATATGTCCCCGGCAGGACTGCAAGATACTTGCTGCATCGACCGACCCATGCAAATAATAAATGGGTGGACTCAAGAGTTCTCACAGTCACAATTAAATACCATGAAGCACCTACTTTGCCTGATAGGTGGGCAGAATTTTCACTTTTCTTTTCTTTGCTTTTTCTTGACAGTACCTACGATCAGGTCTGGGACCCAGAGCAAACGAGATGCTCCCAGTCTCAGAGATCTACATCCATTCGGGTCATGGTGCTGATCGGTCCACTAGTGAGGCGAGAGTTGACCGTCAGCCTTAAAACTGCTTCTTCTAGTGGTCGGATGGGTTCCAACAGTTCAGGTGCCTGCGTAGATGACGAGGGTATCCTAGTCGACTAATTCTATTTTTTTTTTTTTATTTTTTTTGTGGATGGGAGATGCTTTCATCATCCCATAATATAGTTTGTACCAAAGATTATGTTGGGCATGATGCATTCCCTAACAAAAATTGATCGAACATGATTTCGTAGTTCTTAGATGAGAAGAGCCCCCAAGTTGGAAATACCGATATTTACATTAACTAGTCTAGTACCTGACTAAATGGCACTACTGCCTCCGTACGCAATCAAGCGGCCACTTAATAGCCGGTTTCCAGGCTGAAACCCTTATCCTCCGTCTTGGTCTAATTTGTCTGGCTGGTCAATGCTCCACCTTCCAAGACCGCTGGGTCAGTTGATATATAATTACATAGTAGATATGGTGTATTACAAGGCTGTTGTATTTGATACTCTTCTCACCATCTCAAACAACGGTTGGGTGCACACCTCATGGAGGGAGCTCAAAGGGAAGAGGAGGGGAGGGCAAGGTAGAAATGAAGGAAATAGAATAATGGCAAAGAATAAGGGTTCATCTCCTGAAGAAATATTGCCTTTTCATAACCTATCAAATGGGACAAGAACTCTGTACAGTATACACTACTCCGTATACATGGTTGCCTTGTGATGGGTTTTGACAGGGTGAACTGTTTGAAAGTTATTGAATAACTGTAGACTGCATTACTTTGGTGGGGGGCAGTTAAAGGAAGATGTTCCTATTTCATTTATATATGCTATGTTAGTAGCTTTCTTTTACATGATGATCACCGCCACCGCCACCGCCAATAAAAAGTGGAAAAGAAAAGAGGGAGTGAGAGAAATTCAATGACAGAGCGAGGGGTAGAGGAGATATGCTTCTATGAACTCTGCTGTATCTTGTAATGATCCAGAGTAGAGCTATAAATCGCGAATGCTTAACCTCTAGATAAATATTGACCAAGGCAATTTCA